GATCATTGCAGGGATTTTGTACATAGATTTATTTCCATCTATTTTTATTGGAAATGACATGCTTTCTCTACGGTGGCCTGATCTGTTTTCAAAATAAAACCAACAATGACATAAGACACATCATTAGCTCACAACATGAAAATAACTAAAGACAAACTATATACAACAACTACACACATATATATATATATATATATATATATAATAGATAATAAATAAATAAGTCCTTGCGAATGAAAATATAGAATAAAAACAAATTTTTCAGATCGTTCGCTAGGCCTTTCTGCCTTCTAGGGCTTCTTCAGGCAGATTGATGTTTATTTATCACCTTTGGTTACATGACGTCATCAATATTTGTATAGTCAACATTTTTAGTGACGTCATAAATAAACAAGCATAGTGACGTCACAAACAATACCAAGACAGAGAAAACATCTACATACAATACATTGCAAAAATCATTGTGCATTCAGGCTGGGTTTGAGGCCTTTTATAAACATATTTTCTTTACTTTCTCTTGCAACTACATAGTCGCTATTCAGTTTGTAAATAGGTAACACATGAAAATCATCTTTAGAATATCGATGCATATGTTTGCTAACTTTTAAAAATCTTAGTTCATTGTCCTTCATTTGTTGTCTATATACATTCATTCGTATTCTCATTTGTAGTCTTGGTATTGTTTGTGATGTCACTATGCTTGTTTATTTATGACGTCACTAAAATTGTTGACTTTACAAATATTGATGACGTCATGTAACAAACGGTGATAAAGAAACATCAATCCGCCTGAAGAAGCCCTAGAAGGCAGAAAGGCCTAGCGGACGATCTGAAAAATTTGTTTTTATATATATATATATATCTGATCAGAGACACAATGTTACTCCTAACTCACCAGAACTTATCGTGAAAGTTGAATAAGAAAATGAAAAGAATGTGAATAGGTAGCAATTGGTATCAAGTAATCTGAATGCCTTGTTGTTTTTAAATTCTTCAAGAAGATTGGAAATCTTTTCAAAGCGCATCCCCAGCCAACAAATATGTACACAAAGATAAGTGTGTAGGGCTCCCCAATATAGCGGGAGTGTTATCATTAGCTAGCTTTTGATGAGGAGGGCAAAGGATACCTAAGTATTCTTTTTAAGTTTGTTTTCAGAAGCAAGCTACAGTTACAAATCTAAACACCACAACACCGAGACAAAGTACCAGTCTTGAAAATATTTTTCTGTAGGACTGTTTACAAATAATCTACAACAGGAAGGAAATTAACTGTTTGGGATGGGGTTATCCAACATCCACGCAACAGTAGGACCAGTCGCTGTCACTAAGCTGATGGCTACCGTAATGGAATTCACTAGTCTGCCTATAAAAGTAACAAATGAAATCAGTTAACAAGAACACCATAACACCACCACCTTGGGTTTGTTGGCATCAACTAGAGGTCTGCATGTATCAGCCCATTAGCTTTTCATAAAGCTTACTTCAGACATAGTGGCCAAAACTTGGTACCTTCAACCTTCAGCCTTCAGGGATAAAGAAGGCCTGGTAGTTGGAACGCAGAAGGCCAAGGAATGTCACAGAAATTATAAACAAAACTCGATATTGATTGCAGTATTTTGTTTTTGTCATAAAACATAGAAAATATAACTCATTTCAGTCATTGATTTCCTGTCTAGGATACATTAGAATGCATATAATGGAATTTATAAATTGAAATTAAAGGGGGGGAGGTCACACTGGTACATGGTCGCGCGCAATCACACGCACCTATTTGTTCACAAATTAAAATTTGGCGAAACTGAATCAAGACCCAGAGCTAGCCCTGCCTTGAATACAAATTTCTGATACATCTAAATTGATGTTTTAAGTATATTGAATTATTTCAAGTCTAGAAATGTTCATTTTAGAGCAGCTCTGCCGACCTTGCTAATTAACCTTAGGGATGAGTTTCACAGATCTTGTATGAAAGGGAAACAATACAAAGATCCCTTTCATTACATTGTGTAACTGACATCAGAATGAGCTGTATTACACAGTAGTCGTATATGATATACCAGGTATACGGTTATTAATTGTACACATTTTGTATTTAAGTCTCATGGAACCCATCGTAGGTAAAATACACAAAATTTATAATAATCATTGAGTAGATTTAAATCTTTTTGCTTTTTCAAAAAATGAATTTCCTTCAAAGAAAACACTTCAGAGGTGAGATAAAACAAAGGGAATCTAGGTTCATTGTGGTTTGTGAAGCCAGTAGTTCTCATACTTGAAGTCTTGTTTATTATTTTCAAAAAGATACAGCCTTGTGCTGGACAGTCAAACTCTGACCCGAGGGTTGAGATAAAGCCCCGTGCTGGACAGCCAAACTCTGACCCGAGGGTTGAGATAAAGCCTCGTGCTGGACAGTCAAACTCTTATCCGAGTATTGAGATAAAGCCTTGTGCTGGACAGCCAAACTCTGACCCGAGGGTTGAGATAAAGCCTTGTGCTGGACAGTCAAACTCTGACCCAAGGGTTGAGATAAAGCCTCGTGCTGGACAGCCAAATTCTGACCAGAGGGTTTAGATAAGCCCTGGTGCTAGACAGCCAAACTCTTATCCGAGTATTGAGATAAAGCCTTGTGCTGGACAGTCAAACTCTGACCCGAGGGTTGAGATAAAGCCTTGTGCTGGACAGCCAAACTCTGACCCGAGGGTTGAGATAAAGCTTTGTGCTGTACAGTCAAACTCTGACCCAAGGGTTGAGATAAACCCTGGTGCTGGACAGCCAAACTCTTACCAGAGGGTTGAGATTTCCCTATCCATGGACCACACCCTTATAAGATTCTATTAAACCCACATGGTCCTGAATAATAGAAACCAGAATCCGACTTAACATTTATAGGCTATACATGTATCACATATGTGATGTGTGTTGGAGTTGTAGTCTGTCTTTGAAAGGGATAATATGTAATAAACAATAACACAAGCTTGTGCAAATAAATTTATTTTACATTTCTTCATTCATTCCTTCTCATGACATAAAAGACCTTTCATATACACATCAGCTTGTCATATAGACAGAGCATCACTCAGTTAGTACCGTTACAAACAGGTTAACTTTTACCCTTTACATCCACATCTCGTGTCAGGTAATTCTTATTATTCCAAACTGTGATCATTTTCTTGTTCAAAACAGACCAGATGAATAGACCAAGCACTTATAGTAGTAAATTATTCATGAATCTTTGCATTCTCCCCCTTCTGTTATCAGAGGAAAACCCCATTCCCCTATTCTTTTTAAGGATAATCAAATGTTATTTGAGGTTCTAGAATAATGTTTTTATACAGTCACTTTCCATTTAGGATACATATGAGGAGCCTAAAACCTGTTGACAGGAAATGCCAACCATCTGGAGTACTTAGCTTCACTTGAACATGACTTTTCCCCAAGCTGATAGGGACATTCCTCCACTCCAGTGCAACAAGAGTTAATTTAGGATTTTTTTTCACCAAGATAATTGCAAACAAAACTATACAAATTAATCAGGAAGACAATCTTACAGTATTCACTACAGATTGGCAAGCAAATGCATCCAAATTTAATCATAATTTCAGAGTTTTCATTGAATTTACACTAAAGATCTCACATCTTTCCTATATATAATTCAACATATGATTAAAGTGAACTTAAACAACATCAACAATCAACTGTCAGGGTCATTCTTGACAGAGTTAAAAATATGGCCCTCAGACTGGATTGCTTGACTAAACAGAGTTTGTACAGTAGTGTACTACAGTGAACCCTGTATACTGTAACCTGAGTATTCTGACATCCTTCTTATAAGTACCACCACATGTAACTTGTGTATTCTGACACCCTGTCATATCTGACATACAGCTGTTATCCCATTCTTTTAAGTAATACCGCATGTAACTTGTGTATTCTGACACCCTGTCATATCTGACATACAGCTGTTGTCCCATTCTTTTAAGTAATACAGCATGTAACTTGTGAATACTGACACTCCTGGTAATCCAAACAAACTGTTTGTTCACAGATAAAAGAATTTCAATAATTAATTTTCAATTTCTTCTACTACAGTGTTTCTTTCCGAACTGTTGGCATTTGAAAACTAGGTCCAGGGCCCACTTGTATAAAACATCTCAACTCTTGAGATTTCCTCAAGTCTAAGATTTCCCATAGACAATACATTGCTTGAAATTTTCCTTAACTTTGAGATGTTTTATACAAGTGGGCCCAGGTATTTTGATTTCTGTAGTGTATACTTTTAATAAGGCAACAACTAAAGGTAATATCATTCTCCCACAGAATCAAACTCACCAGACGTATACTCACTTGTGTTAAGCCTATCTCTCTGTTACAAACACACTTGTCGGATACCTGTATACCGTGTGAAAGTTAAATCCTAGGCCTTTCTTATTATTCGATTATGCTTGTATATTTGAAATCTTTGGTACAATCTTTAAAATGCTTCCCTTACATAACAGGTACTGTAGATTACCTATTTTTTGTATACATTTAGTTTCACAAACTGACCTTTCTATAGTGATTCAGGAGGACACTGATTTATATTTCATTCAGCGTTCCTGAAACATACTCAAGTAAAAAAACATTTATCCCAGCAGCCATACAAAGCCTCTCCTTTTATAAACACTCGTGTATGACAACCTTCATTTTGTGTCCCGACGACTTATTGCACACAATTTAGCTGTCCAGGGTGTGCCAAGTACTCCTCATCAACACTTATAATATACAAACCACATACAGTTTTAACTCGACTAACCTTCCATCTTAAATACATGTTTCTGTATACCCTGTGGGTTTGTGTTAGGCCTAACTAAATGGTAGTGAATTAACTCGGACAGTGTTTGTCTACACTGAGTGACCAGGACACTGTGATGACTGCACTAGTAATTTGTATTTTAACCTTTCCGGAGGAATGTCCAACCAGCCTATGTTGACAGGAATTTGTATTTCAACCTTTCTGCAGGAATGTCCGACCAGCCTATGTTGACAGGAATTTGTATTTTAACCTTTCTGCAGGAATGTCCGACCAGCCTATGTTGACAGGAAATTGTATTTCTGGTAGGAATGTCTGTACATTATTTATCACAATTCTGACACCTATGAAATCCTCCCTTGTCATTTCTCCACAGGGTTCACTTTAGGATCCTTACAGCAGAAATAATGGACGACCATCCCACTCGGGTATCTGGCAAACGCACTGAAATGGTACATAACAATAATATCATAATAACTCCCCCAGGGATATTGTCATGGTTGTGTTATTTCCTTGGTACTATACGAAATGAAGTAACATAGGTTCAACATGGCAGCATTTGGTATTTCACAATATAAATGTGAAATATTACTGACGGTTAAATAACATACATAAGAAGGAATCCCATCACATTCTGATTTCCTTCAACCGACTGTAAGCTATAAGGCCATGCAGTTTCTTTGTGTTACATGATAGATGGACTTTCAAATAAAGGGATCTCAGGATTTACCTTGTTTCCATAAATGTATACACAATCATAAGTTGCCTGAAAGTTTACTACACAAACAACCTTACAGGTATCATCTGTTTGACTAAATCATAGCTTTACAACAGCTTATTATATGTTCTGTTCACTTATCAAACTGAAAATCGTCCTAATAATCCAGAACTTTCTCTATCCACCACCTTCAGCTAAACACCAGCGGGCTTTGTTAACTAGACTGTGTAATGTTCCTCTGCAGCCCTCATCTAAAGACCTTGCTTGTAAATCTGTTATATCACTGTATTGCCACGCCTTATTACCACATACCATGTACTGGTCTCCTCAAATTGATGTAAAACTTGGGACTGGTAAATAAAACACTGAAGGATGACATTACCTGTTTCCAATTCGTTTCTTGCAGACTTTACACATCTTTTCATCATTGATCACCACTTTGTGTTTATGATAAAACATTCTCTGCTCATGGACCTGTGAAAAATACCAGATTATTTTTTGATTCAAGGGACATAACTCTAATAATGAAATTTTCATCAGGGAACTATAAGCAGCTTATTTTTTACACTTATGAAAACTGAACATGCAACACACATGACTTACAAACCAAACACTCCAGATCAATACATTAAAGCTTGTTTGTCTTTGACATATATCCTCAGTTATTAGATCAAGTGTAAATCACCGGTCGTAAGAAACGTTTCTCGGAACACTTTTGGAGGGATGTATATGCACTATACTCCACTGTGTACCAGCAGGTAATGCTAGTCAGAGCAATACATGAATGGCTTGTGTATAGTTAATTCTGTTACCCTTCCCTACACAAAGCCTAGTCCTTACCTGTAAATTTTCAGCATAAAACATGCTTTTGAGGATCTGATTTTTTCGCCGTTCTGTTGCCTGATGTTCCATCACACTTTCAAGGTAGTTTAAGATCTCCTCTATGTTAGTTGCTGCTGGTAACATCTCCAAGGCCTGTAAAAGACACACTACAGTAAGAATTCATGTAACATAATGTGTGGTCAGTATCAAAATGCAGACAATGATTGCCATACTGAGTTACAATCCGGATAGGAAAGGTACCCACACTGAGCATATCACTATAAGGTGTTAAACTCTGCTAGTGGATTTCTTTGTCCTGACGTTTGCCGCAACCTTGGTAACCCAAATTATCTCTTTTAAGTTGTGGTACGGTTCATAAATATACACTCTAACCAAACTCCTCTAATTTTTCTATTGTTATATTTAGAGGTTTTGCACACCTCCCCTTCTGTGTTGACACCAGTTTAGACCAAATTCAATTTCCACCTTTTTGGCCCCTAGCATCACCAGTGAGTCCAAGAAGGACAAGACAGCCGTATGATGCAGTGTAATTCATTTTTGGCTTACTGCATCTATTACCATACTGCATCTATTACCTTACTGCATCTATTACCATACTGCATCTATTACAATACTGCATCTATTACCATACTGCATCGATTACCTTACTGCATCTATTACCTTACTGCATCTATTACCTTACTGCATCTATTACCTTACTGCATCTATTACCATACTGCATCTATTACCTTACTGCATCTATTACAATACTGCATCTATTACCATACTGCATCGATTACCTTACTGCATCTATTACCTTACTGCATCTATTACCATACTGCATCTATTACCTTACTGCATCTATTACCTTACTGCATCTATTACAATACTGCATCTATTACCATACTGCATCGATTACCTTACTGCATCTATTACCTTACTGCATCTATTACAATACTGCATCTATTACCTTACTGCATCTATTACAATACTGCATCTATTACCTTACTGCATCTATTACAATACTGCATCTATTACCTTACTGCATCTATTACCATACTGCATCTATTACCATACTGCATCTATTACCAAATCATTAAAGTCCAATGACATGTATGTGTCTGACCTTTATCTTTATATTACCCGTCTGCCATTGCGCCCCAACATGGAATTGATAACTTTTAATTCTCTGCATTTCGATTGGTTCAGTTGAGACATTTTTAGACTTGTGCTCCTTCCCGACTCACACAGTTAACTTTTATCTCTCTGTATTGGTATTATTTTGAGTCATTTTGGGAGTTCTGCTCTTTCTCGAGTAACAGTGCTTTTTCTCTCATTAAATTGCTATTACCTTGGTGGGTTCTAATTTGTAGACAAGCTTCCAATTTATATGTGTGTGCTCCTGCACATGTTCACCAATCAACCAATATTATTTACTTCATTGGAGTCAATTTTGAAGGCATACTCCTTCACCAGTTGATGAGTCAACTGGTACTATTTACCTTAGTGGAGTCAATTTTAGCAGCATGTTCCTTCATTAGTCGAAGAGCTGCCTCCATACTAGGTTTTGGTGTAAACCCTTGACCAGGGGAGATTCCGAGGGAGGAGGAGGAGGGGGGCTGTAAATACATCTTCAGTAGGTCCAGGTACACCTGCAATTACAGGTAAAAATCACCACAAGTAGAATAATGACAGGCAGAACATTCACAGGTAGAATCTGTTTGTTATACAGAGACTGATGCAGTTCTAGGACCTACCTAAAATGTTTCATTATCAGTCGTCACGTCCTAGGGGATGTTACCTGTTTCTGGAGGTATGAGAAGAAGATGTCATGTCCTAGGGGATGTTACCTGTTTCTGGAGGTATGAGAAGAAGATGTCACATCCTAGGGGATGTTACCTGTTTCTGGAGGTATGCGAACAAGATGTCACGTCCTAGAGGATGTAACCTGGAGGTATGAGAAGAAGATGTCACGTCCTAGGGGATGTAACCTGGAGGTATGGGAACAAGATGTCACGTCCTAGGGGATGTAACCTGGAGGTATGAGTCACATCCTAGGGGATGTAACCTGGAGGTATGAGAACAAGATGTCACTTCCTAGGGGATGTAGCCTGGAGGTATGAGTCACATCCTAGGGGATGTACCCTGGAGGTATGAGTCACATCCTAGGGGATGTAGCCTGGAGGTATGAGTCACCTCCTCGGGGATGTAGCCTGGAGGTATGAGTCACGTCCTAGGGGATGTAACCTGGGGGTATGAGAACAAGATTTGCATGCTGCTTCTAGCAATTGACTACAAATTTAGTAATTGGAAAATATCCAATATAAGGCCTAGCCTGTACCTTGTGTGGGTGTGTCAACCAATATATCAACAGTAATGTAGAGAATAGAAATAGTGTTTGTACTTACATCTTTATTCTCCTCTCTGTTTCTTTCAGAGTATTCATGACAATATCTAAAGATAGAGAAGCACCTTATTATTTAGTATTTGTATAACCCTTTTTGGATTTCATGCAGCATCAGAATAACCAATTTTAGATTTCAAATAGATTTCAATAACAATAATAATATACAACATTTATATAGCGCCCTATATTACTCTAAAGCGCTTTACAACATATGGATAATAGTATTAGTTATAATTGTTAAACAAAAAACAAAGGCTTACGATCACTTGCAAAGCGCCTTAAAAGCAGACGTGAAGAGATGAGTTTTGACGTCCTTTTTGAAAAAGGATATTGACTCATCTTCTCAAGAAAGTGAGTTGTGGTTATCGGTTCAATGCTGATTTTTACATTCTTAAGAATATTTATGAAGACAGGTTTAAAAGTTAAATGATATCCAAATTAAACAGACATGCACAGCTTTGTTTCAGTACTACAGGTGGTATGTTTGAGGGCAATGTAGACAAAGAAGAAGGATTATAATTTTTCTGCGTTTCGGAAATTAGCGGGAAATATTTGTCCTGTATACACAGAGTATATGTGGGCAGTTGCCTGTCTCGTGCAGAGGTTTTGGCCAATCAGATTGAGGCACATGCTAAGGGTAGTTTACAGGTACGTATGTATGCATGTTCATTCTAGCTTCGCACCTCGCACGGCGCAATACAGTTTGAAATAAAATTATAGCAGAATTTTGTATTTATGTAACAGATGTATGTTTGGGTATCGTCATTTGTTAGAAATCCCAGCATCAATTTTGTAAAAAACCTTAAGCATTGTCGGGCTGGTACACCTCCTGTCGCGCCTAATAAGGTTTTCAGGTTGGGTGGCGCGCTTGGTTTTACATTTGTATGGCGATGAACCATGCGAGGGTATATGTGGGAGGATTGTGCCGACTCCGTCTGTGCTATCAGTCGAGCAGCTATTTGCTATTTAGGTGTTGTGTAATGTTTGCCTTGGTACGTATAAGGAGTATAGAGAGGACCATATCTGACGGAGCGAGGAGGAATAGGGTTTTATACAGATTTGGGAGATCGTACCGTTCAGCGGCGGGTGTATCATGTAGAATGTGGACGTAGATTCCCAGAGCCAACTCATGTCTCCCTAACCTCCCCAGTAGTATAGCCCGCTCCTCGTAGAAACCTTAAACACACGTTTAGAACAATATAACTCCTTGAAACACATGAGTTTTCCCAACTTTGAATGAAATACCAGTATCATTTGACAGTCACATTACATTTCACTACTTTTCGTCAAATTTTTCATTGTAATTTTTTTGTGTCAGACCGAAATTGTTTGTTACAACCTATATTTTTTTTAACAGTCTGGTGCTGAGAGTTATAATTTACATCAAGACTTGTTTATCTTAATACAGTTTTTCTAATTAACATAAGCTCTCGACCAAAAGGACATTGACTCATCTTTTATGGAAAGTGAGTTGTGGTTATTGTCCAAGGGCTTTGTACTTACTGTCTAGCGGGAATCGTGTTAGCAGCCTCTCTGGTACATAGTCATGCGACACCTGTAAGAACTGTATCAACTTCCTGCGATATTCCCCCAGCTCACCCTGTTCCTGTCCAGCCTTACTTGGCAGGTGCCCTGTTTATACCAGACCAAAGGATTTTGAGAACAAACATGTCATTTACTTTTCTCCTCTATCTGTGATCTTCTCCTCACAGCTTGTACTGGACACTTCACATGATTCCTATTTACAGTGAATATGACTCCAATATAACCTTATGCAGACCTCAAAATGTTGGCTGAAACAATCTGATGACAGCCCAAATAATTAATAAATCATTTATATACACAAGTATAGTACCAAAGTTTCATTGTTACTCTACAACTTTATGCTAAAAGGAAAACTACCAGACTATTACTCTTATAGAATGGAATCTTACGTCCTTAAAATGAGTGCCTCACAAAATATGTATAACTGTTGTCAATAATAATTTTAAAATAATCTTTAACCTAGTACAATGTTTTAACAATCATACTCATATCTGTCATCATGATAATATTTGAAAATGAAAACTCGGCTTCACTTGACTTAAAATTGACCGCCTACCTTCAGGGAGAGATTGGATGTAGTCGGCCATCAGAGCCTGGACTTTATCTCGTAGTAGTTGTGCCAGAGCGTTGTGGAAGTCTGGTGTATGGTCATCACACTCCAAAATAACGTGTTCCTACGACAACAACAGGTACAGGTCAGTTAGTCCTCTGTATGAGGGTGGACTTAACCTTAGTGACATGTCCAGCTCTCACACCTGGTCCGCTCATACAGTCCTCTGTAGGAGGGTTGACTTAACCTTAGTGACATGTCCAGCTCTTACACGTGGTCCACTCATACTGTCATCTGTAGGAGGGTGGACTTAACCTTAGTGACATGTCCAGCTCTCACGCCTGGTCCACTCATACTGTCCTCTGTAGGAGGCGGACTTAACCTTAGCGACATGTCCAGCTCTCACACCTGGTCCACTCATACTGTACTCTGTAGGAGGGTGGACTTAACCCAAGTGACATGTCTAGCTTTCACACCTGGTCCACTCATACTGTCCTCTGTAGGAGGGAGGACTTAACCTTAGTGACATGTCCAGCTCTCACACCTTGTCCACTCATACTGTCCTCTGTAGGAGGGTGGACGTAGCCTTAGTGACATGCCCAGCTCTCACACCTGGTCCACTCATACTGTCCTCTGTAGGAGGGTGGACTTAACCCAAGTGACATGTCCAGCTTTCACACCTGGTCCACTCATACTGTCCTCTGTAGGAGGGTGGACTTAACCTTAGCGACATGCCCAGCTCTCACACCTGGTCCACTCATACTGTCCTCTGTATGAGGGTTGACTTAACCTTAGTGACATGTCCAGCTCTTACACGTGGTCCACTCATACTGTCCTCTGTAGGAGGGTGGACTTAACCTTAGTGACATGCCCAGCTCTCACACCTGGTCCACTCATACTGTCCTCTGTAGGAAGGTGGACTTAACCTTAGTGATATGTCCAGCTCTCACACCTGGTCCACTCATACTGTCCTCTGTAGGAAGGTGGACTTAACCTTAGTGGTATGTCCAGTTCTCCCACCTGGTCCACTCATACTGTCCTATGTAGGAGGGTGGACTTAACCTGAGTGACATGTCCAGCTCTTACACGTGGTCCACTCATACTGTCCTCTGTAGGAGGGTGGACTTAACCTTTAGTGACATGTCCACACTTACATTTTACAATGGAGTGGGTAAATATTTATGTAAGTAATGTATAGTTGATATCACATATATACCAGAGATACTGACTGTGCAAGGAACTAGCCTGAGAGTATTTTTATCCTGAAGTTTGTTATCCAGCTGTCTCAAAACAATTCTTTTTCTTAACAAGGTCATGGTTTTTTCCGTGAAGAATTTATGTTAAGTAGTCACACTGCTAAACGAGCCTCAGAAGCTATCAAAGAATATACATATATGTATGTTTCCCTCCAGGCCTCTAACCCTACAACTCACCAAGTAAGGAATGGCAAGATCTTTTGCTGTTTTTTCCAGATATTTGAAAATCTGTTCTCTAGGCAGGCTGTCCACCTCTGGTAAGTCTTCAGTAAAAATCTGGAGAATAGAAAGATCATGTATCACAGATTTACAAAATGTAAATATGCTGTCTAATAATTCAGAGGTGATCAAAAGCAATAATCTTATCTTCAGCTATTCAGTGATATTTGCCAAATCCAACCTTTAAGGGAGCAATATTTTTGTTTACAGTATTTTGGAAAACAGTGTTCAATTTTTACATGTAGTGAAACCTTCTGTGGATTACAACAAGTTTCTGAGTCATAGAGATTCAATTGAGACAGATTACACTGCCGAAATGTTTAAAATTATTTTCAATATTGTTAAAGTATGGAGGCTATGTAAACTTACTTTGAGTCCGTCCTCCGGATGCTGTTTTAACACCCACTCAGCATACTCAAATATCAGGTCTAAGTGATCTCGCCCTGTACACAACAGTAATATCACACTACATTAACAGTTATATAAAGAAACGGTGTTATTCTGTCAGAAATGATACAACATAAAAGTTTACTCTCATTAATCTCCAGTTTTATGTAATTTAAGATATGAACGAAGAATTGAATTCATTAGAAAGTAGATCAACTTGAAATGTTTTATTCCAGAGCAAACACAAGTGAGTTAACACTGTAAGAGCAGTGGCCAGGTAGGACAAGAATGATAACTCCAAACTCTCGTAACTGTTGATGAGCATGACTGTGGTCACTAGCTCGTGATGTGCTGATTACCTCCCTTAGACTGTACACAGCTACCCACCTAGATGTTGTAAATATTGCACAGTGCGGTCATGGCCTTTGAGTGGTGAGCTGGGACGGGCAGCCTGGTTCATCAGTAAGTTTAGGGCTGTTGATAAAATATCAAATTAAATCACGATGATCACAAAAGCCATGTCTGCTTGCATCATCACTAAACGTTGAAATGATTGTAAAAACATTTACGTTGGTAGCCATGACACTTACATAGGGGGATTGTTTATAAGTAAACAAAAAAGTACATGGTAACTCGGATAAAAGGGGGAAGCTACCTCAGGTCAGTCACAGATTGGTGATGACAGGATAATTTGATGGTCTTCAATTTTAGCAATAGCGCACAAAGAGCTAACAGACCAAACGGTCACACATCTTAGAATCCTGTGATACCCCTTACAGAAATAGAAAGATTGCAGCGATATCCCGGCGCAAAATTCAGTTCGCCAGAAGTGCACAGAATATCGCCACTAGTGGTGACATTCTGGTGATGTTCTGGCACACATTTCATATCGTCAGAATGTCACCAGAATATCACCAGAATATCGCCAGAAGTGCACCACAGATAAAATATTCTGGTGATGTTCTGGCACACTTTTCATATCACCAGAATGTCGCCAGAATATCACCAGAATATTGCCAGAAGTGCACCACAGATAAGGAATTCCCATGATCCTCTGTAACTTGTCTAAATACAGTTGACCCCCCAAATTAAAAAATCACAAAATGGCTGATGAATGAAGGACAGCTCATGGTGAAAGTTGAGTGAAATAAGGAGGCTTTAGTCTTTTTTGGATAAAGTGAAAGCATTCTTGAGTCATATAAGGTAATGTAGAGTATGTTTTCTTCTATGTTTTATATAATTCATGGTCGCAAAACATGTAAAATCTTAACTGAATTACTGTAGTGCATTTTCATACAACATTATAATTAAGTTTTCATTGTGTCATACACAATTCTACTACATGTATTTAGCAGTGTAGTACATCATATCAAAGTCTTGCTTTAGGTCTTGCAGTAATATGTTTACAGAAGTTCATGTTGCTTCTTTAATCAATATACAGAACTGTCTCTTATAAAACTGTTCATACTTATACATTATATCAACATTGATAACTACTATTAACGAATATCACATTGTGAAATAATCCATATATATGTGTTGAACTTTGTAACCAATTTCTGATCAATATAAGCTATGAATTATAATCTAAACTATATGTACTCCACAACCCTATTGCAATATTGTCATATGTTTGATTGTAGGAATCCCAATCTTGCTTGCCAAGACACGCAGATCAAACGGATGAGTCACAATATCAGCAGAACCCTAGCCTGCGGTGATACCGCCGCAAGTGCAGCGGAACATTCTGGCTATATCGCCGCAACTGCGCTAGAACATTCTGGTGACATTCTGGCGATATCGCCGAAACGCACCAGAACCTAGTGAGGCTTTTAGAGCATTGGAATGAGTATGCCACAACATCACCAGAACCCTGCAACGATATTCTGGTGATATCGCCAGACACCTAATTTGTATACGAAATCTGAACACGCGGCAATATCGCAGCAATAGTGTGCCAGAGACTGAATATTTGTGTAAGGGACATTACATATCCTGTTGTACTGTATACATCCTGACATTTCATACAAATTCTGTATAAACAATATGTTGTACTGTATACATACTGACATTTAATACAAATTCTGTATACACAATATGTTGTACATCATATCCAAAATATCTTATTTATGGTATTCATATTGATGTATATCCGTTCCACAAATTCCATTTCGACAGGATGGTAGTGGAAATGTACAACTTGTACCCTCTGAATTGAGTAGATACGGTATACCTATACTGTACCCCCTGACTAAGGCTGTCCTACCTTTCTGATGAAGTCCTTTCTTCTCATACAGGATAATGAGTTCACTAAACTTCTCTTTACGTTTGAGGATTTTCTCACTCTCCTCCACATGACAGTTGTTGTCTTTGATTCTCAACAGTGGCGCCACCAGGGCGTCATTCGTCTGTAACAGTCAGATGGTCAGATTTGTACACGGTCTATCAATACTACAGGTTATACTGGGTCAAACAGAGCAAGACTGAACCATTAAATATATCACATAACACCACATACAAAAGATGGCCAACACTTCGTCTTTTATAATAACAAATACTGTTGTACTAATGATTATTTAGAAGAAATTGTTTAAAAGTTTCAACATATTTGACCCCTGTGGCATTGAATATAGTGGAAGGTCATTCATTTGAACAAACTTGGTAGCTCTTCATTCCAGCATGCTACAGGCCAAATATCATTATCCTGGGCCTTCTGGTTATTCATCAGAAGTTATTTAAAGATTTCAACATATTTGACTCCTTTGACCTTGAATACAGGCGAAGGTCATTCATTTGCACAAACTTGGTAGCCCTTCATCCTAGCATAATACTGGCCAAATATCACTAGCCTGGGCCTCTTGGTTTTTCAGAAGAAGTTGTTTAAGTAAAAAGTTGACGACGGACGGACGGACGAACGAACGACGGACGCCACACCATGGCATAAGATCACTTGGCCCTTCGAGCCAGGTGAGCTAAAAACGAACCAAGTGCTTATTTTTGAATTTTAATGGGTGTTTTTGTTATGATAAGGTTTAGGTCTTCATCCACCAAAAGAAATTTGAAATCAAAGGAGGGACAATTTTGGAAACCCACCATTTCTCAATATTTTATGGGGGTTGGTTGGGGATGGACTCGACAAGTTACAAATTTGAATGGACCATTTATAAAAGATAAGGGACAGATGACCCAATACCTCTAAGCATTATTCCTTCTGACCTTTGACCTACCTGTAAGTAACATTTCAGCAGGGTGGTATCGATGATCTGACTGAGTTGACGTTTGGACTTGATGGTTTTGTTGCCCTCCTTGATGGCCGTTGTCTGAACCTCCTTATTGATATCTTTACATACGTCTACCCTTTTCTACAAGAGATGGGTAAAACCAATAAATTTTAGATAGAGGACCGTACAAGACAAACTTATTTACCTTCTTAACAAGTACATGAACTTTCAGAATGAATGAAAATAATTTTTCTCTTAATTTTGTGATCTGCAATAAGAAGAGAAATTTCTTGATGTAAAATTTCTCCAGTTGGTTTCCTAAAAACTCAGCATACTCTAAATCTTAGACAGGAGACATATACATCCCATATATAGCCTGTCTCCTCTCACTGTAGTCAGATACCATAGTAGTTCTGTAGAGTCCGTTCTCTTCCTGATGGCCTTCTATTGCCACAAGTCTTCTAACAATAACAGCCAGCTATTTCTGTATGACTATACCTTTTCTCTTACTGACCATGCTGTACACCTAGCATCAATAGGCCTAATCTCACTTAACCTGAATACGATAGTCCTGTAGAGCTAACTCAAAACCTAATCTCACCTAACCTCAATACGATAGTCCTGTAGAGCTAACTCAACACCTAATCTCACCTAACCTCAATACGATAGTCCTGTAGAGCTAACTCTACACTTTATCTCACCTTTTCTGAATAAGATAGTCCTGTAGAGCTTATTTTACACCTAATCTCACCTAACCTCAATACGATAGTCCTGTAGAGCTAACTCAACACCTAATCTCACCTAACCTCAATACGATAGTCCTGTAGAGCTAACTCTACACTTTATCTCACCTTATCTGAATAAGATAGTCCTGTAGAGCTTACTTTACACCTATTCTCACCTTACCTCAATACGATAGTCCTGTAGAGCTAACTCTACACTTTATCTCACCTTATCTGAATAAGATAGTCCTGTAGAGCTTACTTTACACCTAATCTCACCTTACCTCAATACGATAGTAGTCCTGTAGAGCTAACTCTATACCTAATCTTACCTTACCTAAGTAAGTTAGTCCTGTTTGGCTAACTCTATACCTAATCTCACCTTACCTGAGTAAGTTAGTCCTGAAGAGCTAACTCTAAAAGTAATCTTACCTTACCTAAGTAAGTTAGTCCTGTTTGGCTAACTCTATACCTAATCTCACCTTACCTCAATACGATAGTCCTGTAGAGCCAATTCTACACACAATCTCACCTTACCCTAGTAAGTTAGTCCTGTTTGGCTAACTCTATACCTAATCTCACCTTACCTGAATAAGATAGTCCTGTAGAGTTAACTCTACACCTAATCTCACTTTACCCGAGTAAGATAGTCCTGTAGAGCTAACTTTACACCTAATCTCACCTAACCTGAGTAAGATAGTCCTGTAGAGCAAACTTTACACATAATCTCACCTAACCTGAGTAAGATAGTCCTGTAGAGCTAACTCTACACTTTATCTCACCTTACCTGAGTAAGTTAGTCCTGTAGAGCTTACTTTACACCTAATGTCACCTTACCTGAGTAAGTTAGTCCTGTTTGGCTAATTCTACACCTAATCTCATCTTACCTGAATAAGATAGTCCTGTAGAGCTTACTTTACACCTAATCTCACCTTACCTGAATAAGATAGTCCTGTACATTTTACTTTATGCCTAATCTCACCTAACTTCAATAAGATAGTCCTGTAGAGCTAACTCTACATCTAATCTCGCCAAACCTCAATAAAATAGTCCTGTAGAGCTTACTTTCCACCTAATCTCACCTTACCTGAATAAGATAGTCATGTAGAGCTAACTCTACACCTAATCTCACTTTACCTGAGTATGTTAGTCCTGTTTGGCTAGCTCTACACCTAATCTCGCCTTACCTGAGTAAGACAGTCCTGTATAGCTAACTCTACACTTTACCTCATCTTACCTGAGCATGATGGTCCTGAAGGGCTACCTCTAATCCTAATCTTACCTTTCCTGAGTAAGACAGTCCTATATAGCTAACTCTACACTTTACCTCATCTTACCTGAGCATGATAGTCCTGAAGGGCTAACTCTAAATCTAATCTTACCTTACCTGAGTAAGACAGTACTGTATAGCTAACTCTCCACTTTATCTCATCTGACCTGAGCATGATAGTCCTGAAGTTACACTTTTGTGGTACACTTCTGCGTTACACTTTTATTGTTCGTTTCTGTACAATTGTACAGCCAAAACCGGCCATGGTACACTTTTAAACGGGCATTGGCCTATTGACCTTGCCAGTGTTTGGAATGTTCATCATTCGAAAGGTTATCACAGTAATAGGATATGAAACCAACGCTTACGCTCTGGATATTTTTAAACCCAAACATGGGCCAATTCGGGGGTGGAAGAGGCTGTGGTAGCCGTCAAGTAAATCATCAAGCAAAATAGCATAAGGTCACGTATCGGTATATATAACAAATTTAAACGACAAATGCATATCGCTTTTAATCTCGCTATGCATATATTTCACATATCCTATTACTGCGATAACCTTTCGAATGATGAACATTCCAAACACTGGCAAGGTCAATAGGCCAATGCCCGTTTAAAAGTGTCCCATGGCCGCTTTCGGCTGTACAATTGGACAGAAACGAACAATAAAAGTGTAACGCAGAAGTGTATCACAAAAGTGTAACGCGGTACAGAAACGAAGTATAAATGCTTCGTTTATGTACCACAAAAGTGTACCGTGGTACAGAAACGAAGTATAAATACTTCGTTTATGTACCACAAAAGTGTAATGCGGTACAGAAACGAAGCATTTATACTTCGTTTGTGTACCACAAAAGTGTACCGTGGTACAGAAACGAAGTATAAATACTTCAAATATGTCCGGCCGCTTTCGGCTAACGGTACAGAAACGAATGATAAATGCTTCAATTGTGTATCACACAAAAGTGTACTGTGGTACACAAACGAAGTATAAATACTTCAAATATGTCCGGCCGCTTTCGGCTAACGGACCACAAACGAAACATAAATGTTTCAAATATGTCCGTCCGCTTTCGGCTAACGGTACCGAAAGAAGTATAAATGCTTCGATTGTGTATCACACAAAAGTGTACCGTGGTACACAAACGAAGTATAAATGCTTCGTTTCTGTACCACACAAAAGTGTACCATGGTACACAAACGAACTATAAATGCTTCAAAAGTGCCTGGCCGCCTTCGGCCATCGTAGTATGATAGTCCTGAAGGGCTAACTCTAAACCTAATCTTATCTTACCTGAGGAAGATAGTCCTGTGGACCTAACTCTACACTTTGTCTCATCTTACCTGAGTAAGATAGTCCTGTAGGGCTAGTTCTAAACCTAATCTCACCTTACCTGAGTAAGACAGTCCTGTATAGCTAACTCTACACTTTATCTCATCTTACCTGAGTATGATAGTCCTGAAGGGCTAACTCTAAACCTAATCTTACCTTACCTGAGGAAGATAGTCCTGTGGACCTAACTCTACACTTTGTCTCATCTTACCTGAGTAAGATAGTCCTGTAGGGCTAGTTCTACACCTAATCTTACCTTACCTGAGGAAGATAGTCCTGTAGAGCTAACTCTGCACCTAATCTCACCTTACCTGAGTAATATAGTCCTGTACAGATAACTCTAAACTTTATCTCGTCTTACCTGAGTATGATAGTCCTGAAGGGCTAAGACTTAACCCTAATCTTACCTTACCTGAGGACGATAGTCCTGTAGAGCTAACTCTACCCTTTAACTCATCCTATCTGAGTAAGATAGTCCTGTGCAGATAACTCTAAACTTTATCCCATCTTACCTGAGTATGATACTCCTGAAGGGCTAACACTTAACCCTAATCTTACCTTACCTGAGTAAGATATTCCTGTAGAGCTAACTCTACCCTTTAACTCATCTTATCTGAGTAAGATAGTCCTGAAGAGCTAACTTTATATCTAATATTATGTTACTGAGTAAGATAGTCCTGTAGGGCTACCTCTACACTTTATCTAACCTTACCTGAGTAAGATAGTCCTGTAGAGCTAACTCTACACCCTATCTAACCTTACCTGTGTAAGATAGTCCTGTAGGGATAGAAGACCTTTCTCCAGATCGCCCCCTTCCAGCTCTGGTGGTCTCTTTGGGTACTCCAGTTGACTACGGTACTCATTGGGTAGGAGGTTAGGGTACAGCCCTATCACGTGGGACGGATCTTCAAAAAGTAAAAAACTTTGATGATCAGGATCAGGTTTAGGTCAGAAGTTGAAAGAGTAACGATTCTTCCTCATACCATGTCAGCTACCACCCAGTACAATGTCAGCTACCACCCAGTACAATGTCAAAACCACCCAGTACAATGTCAACTACCACCCAGTACAATGTCAACTACCACCCAGTACAATGTCAAAACCACCCAGTACAATGTCAACTACCACCCAGTACAATGTCAGCTACCACCCAGTACAATGTCAACTACCACCCAGTACAATGTCAACTACCACCCAGTACAATGTCAAAACCACCCAGTACAATGTCAACTACCACCCAGTACAATGTCAACTACCACCCAGTACAATGTCAACTACCACCCAGTACAATGTCAAAACCACCCAGTACAATGTCAACTACCACCCAGTACAATGTCAACTACCACCCAGTACAATGTCAACTACCACCCAGTACAATGTCAAAACCACCCAGTACAATGTCAACTACCACCCAGTACAATGTCAACTACCACCCAGTACAATGTCAACTACCACCCAGTACAATGTCAAAACCACCCAGTACAATGTCAACTACCACCCAGTACAATGTCAACTACCACCCAGTACAATGTCAACTACCACCCAGTACAATGTCAAAACCACCCAGTACAATGTCAACTACCACCCAGTACAATGTCAACTACCACCCAGTACAATGTCAACTACCACCCAGTACAATGTCAAAACCACCCAGTACAATGTCAACTACCACCCAGTACAATGTCAACTACCACCCAGTACAATGTCAACTACCACCCAGTACAATGTCAAAACCACCCAGTACAATGTCAACTACCACCCAGTACAATGTCAACTACCACCCAGTACAATGTCAACTACCACCCAGTACAATGTCAAAACCACCCAGTACAATGTCAACTACCACCCAGTACAATGTCAACTACCACCCAGTACAATGTCAACTACCACCCAGTACAATGTCAAAACCACCCAGTACAATGTCAACTACCACCCAGTACAATGTCAACTACCACCCAGTACAATGTCAACTACCACCCAGTACAATGTCAAAACCACCCAGTACAATGTCAACTACCACCCAGTACAATGTCAACTACCACCCAGTACAATGTCAACTACCACCCAGTACAATGTCAAAACCACCCAGTACAATGTCAACTACCACCCAGTACAATGTCAACTACCACCCAGTACAATGTCAACTACCACCCAGTACAATGTCAAAACCACCCAGTACAATGTCAACTACCACCCAGTACAATGTCAACTACCACCCAGTACAATGTCAACTACCACCCAGTACAATGTCAAAACCACCCAGTACAATGTCAACTACCACCCAGTACAATGTCAACTACCACCCAGTACAATGTCAACTACCACCCAGTACAATGTCAAAACCACCCAGTACAATGTCAACTACCACCCAGTACAATGTCAACTACCACCCAGTACAATGTCAACTACCACCCAGTACAATGTCAAAACCACCCAGTACAATGTCAACTACCACCCAGTACAATGTCAACTACCACCCAGTACAATGTCAACTACCACCCAGTACAATGTCAAAACCACCCAGTACAATGTCAACTACCACCCAGTACAATGTCAACTACCACCCAGTACAATGTCAACTACCACCCAGTACAATGTCAAAACCACCCAGTACAATGTCAACTACCACCCAGTACAATGTCAACTACCACCCAGTACAATGTCAACTACCACCCAGTACAATGTCAAAACCACCCAGTACAATGTCAACTACCACCCAGTACAATGTCAACTACCACCCAGTACAATGTCAACTACCACCCAGTACAATGTCAAAACCACCCAGTACAATGTCAACTACCACCCAGTACAATGTCAACTACCACCCAGTACAATGTCAACTACCACCCAGTACAATGTCAAAACCACCCAGTACAATGTCAACTACCACCCAGTACAATGTCAACTACCACCCAGTACAATGTCAACTACCACCCAGTACAATGTCAAAACCACCCAGTACAATGTCAACTACCACCCAGTACAATGTCAAAACCACCCAGTACAATGTCAACTACCACCCAGTACAATGTCAAAACCACCCAGGACAATGTCAACTACCACCCAGTACAATGTCAACTACCACCCAGTACCATGTCAGCTACCACCCAGTACAAATGTCAACTACCACCCAGTACAATGTCAAAACCACCCAGTACAATGTCAACTACCACCCAGTACCATGTCAGCTACCACCCAGTACCATGTCAAAACCACCCAGTACAATGTCAGCTACCACCCAGTACAATGTCAGCTACCACCCAGTACAATGTCAAAACTCCCAGTACAATGTAAAAATCCCCCAGTACCAAGTCAAAACCACACAGTACAATGTCATCAGAGCATCTTCAAATCTTACCAGTTCCTAACTTGACAAATATTGACATGGATTCTTCAAACTTGCGTTCACAAAATAAATTAAATGCATGAAGAGTTTTTATTCGGTTAATTCGTGTCTGCTTCTCATCCTCTGGCTCCTCTGTCATATCCTGAAACATTATAATCAGATACAAAAGATGACAAATATTTGTTAAATTCAATGGAACAGCTAACTCAGACTCAATAGCCACAAAACACTTGCTAGTCAGTATACAATGTGTATGTATACAGACAAGACAACACAGCCAGCAATAAGTCTGCATTTCAATGACAGAGTCTATGTTCGTCAAGTATCAATTTCACCATTCCCAGTGGAAACACAATATGTATAGTAAGCTGTGTACCTATAGTCATAATCTTTGTGAAAGTAGAAAGAGCAAACATTTCCCAGTAAATATACATTATGAATATTGATCAACTATAACACTGTGTTAATCCTGTAATAGGTTCAGAGGGCCAACACATGATTTCTGACTCAAAGTAAGGGGTGGCCTTATTACAGGACAAATGAGATACCATGAGTTGGTATTCCTACTGAACTGCAATAGACATGGGTGGGCTTATTACCATGTGTTGGTATTCCTACTGAACTGCAATAGACATTGGTGGGCTTATTACCATGAGTTGGTATTCCTACTGAACTGCAATAGACATGGGTGGGCTTATTACCACGATTTAATAATCTCAAATGTTCCAAGTCACAGAGGTACTTGATGGGCGATATCAATATCTTAATATCTTTTAGGGTGTGTTCATTACAAGGATACACAAAAAATATACAAACAAACATACAACACTATTTGCAGCTCAATCCGATCTATTTTTTACCAGAAACTTGTCAAACTATTTTTCTAAAAGACAGTCATATACAAAATTACGAACCAAAAAGAAGTCTGATACTTACAGCAAGATGTAGAGCTAGTTCAAACTGATTAGCCTCCAGCAGTTGTCGAATCTGATAAGCTATAGGCATGGCATTCAGCTTCCACACATGGTTAGACGAGGCCACGTATATACAACCACTGTGAACAAATGTCGAAAACTCAAACCTTCTCACTGTCCATACTTAAATGTCGACAGCCCCTAGGACCTTGAATAGACGTAAAGCTACATAGGGCTCCACACCAGAATCTACAATAACATCTGAAACACCTTGTCTTACTAGGCTGAAATTTTCCAAGTACATGTATTTTCAGATGACTAGGCCATTACCTCAAATTTTTCAAATGTGTTACAAGTTGTATTATGTCACTACCTGAATCTTAAAAGTATTTCCATACTGATGGTATCCTGCTGATCCCACTAAATCTACACACATGCAGACACCATTTCATGTTGACAATTTTAGTTCACAGCAAATTAAGTTAGAGATTCTTCATACAACTGGTCCATGATCACTCGTTATAAATTAACTCATTGTTTAGTATTTAAAAGTAGGAAAAGTTGAAAGGCTCTGGTGAACTTTATAAACACTAACTGATTATAAAAGTTTATAAAGCTGTTGTTACCTCCCCTGACAGATGTAGCGGGCCTTCTGGAGCTCAATGTTCTGTATGAGAAGACGTGGGGATATCGTTCGAATTTCCACATGTTTGGGTAATAAGGCTATGATATATGGAGGGTGATTTTCTGGAGAAAAAGCAAAATATAAAATATACTAGAGGTGAGTATATCTACTTGTATTAGATTGTAGTGGACTTATAGTGGTCCTGTTAGATTACTTATACTGTATTAGATTGTAGTAGACTTATAGTGGTCCTGTTGGATTACTTATACTGTATTAGGTTGTAGTGGACTTATAGTGGTCCTGTTGGATTACTTATATTAGATTGCAGTAGACTTATAGTGGTCCTGTTGGATTACTTATACTGTATTAGATTGTAGTAGACTTATAGTGGTCCTGTTGGATTACTTATATTAGATTGCAGTAGACTTATAGTGGTCCTGTTGGATTACTTTTACTGTATAAGACTGTAGTAGACTTATAGTGGTCCTGTAGAATTACTTTTACTGTATTAGATTGTAGAGGACTTATAGTGGTCCTGTTGGATTACTTATATTAGATTGCAGTAGACTTATAGTGGTCCTGTTGGATTACTTTTACTGTATAAGATTGTAGTAGACTTATAGTGGTCCTGTAGAATTACTTTTACTGTATTAGATTTTAGAGGACTTATAGTGGTCCTGTTGGATTACTTGTATTAGATTGCAGTAGACTGTAGTAGTGGTCCTGTTGGATTACTTATATTATATTGTAGTAGACTGTAGTAGTGGTCCTGTTGGATTACTTATATTAGATTGCAGTAGACTTATAGTGGTCCTGTTGGATTACTTATATTAGATTGCAGTAGACTTATAGTGGTCCTGTTGGATTACTTATATTAGATTGCAGTAGACTTATAGTGGTCCTGTTGGATTACTTATATTAGATTGCAGTAGACTTATAGTGGTCCTGTTGGATTACTTATATTAGATTGCAGTAGACTTATAGTGGTCCTGTTGGATTACTTATATTAGATTGCAGTAGACTTATAGTGGTCCTGTTGGATTACTTATATCATCACTTTGTTACTGGAATATTTAATCTGATTTAGTTACCTGTATAAAACAAGTTGTGTTCCTGCCTTTTACAAAATATTTTACATATTTTCCATTGTATGTTCATCATGCATAATACATGGATTTAGCATCAATATATGCAGTTTGTTATCTAGTTTGCTGTATGATCACCCCTCACCTATTTGTATGGGGATATCTGTCCAGTTGATGGGGTATTTCTGGGTTGGGCTTCCCTCGTCATCGATGAGAATGGACATTTCATCCCTCCCAAGTAGAAGAGTATCATTCTCCAGTCGTGTTACAATGGGATCTTGTTGTTTGGTTCCGACCGGAAACAACTCTTTGGTGTTCCCTGTATTTATCTAAACAGAAAATACATTAGGCTAGTATTTTGTGTTAACCTCTTAATCACTCACATTATAAATAGGTAACACAGGTCCATGCTTAAATTGATACAAAATTCACAGAAACCTCAACAATGAACAAACAAAAAACACCAACTATTAATACACCATATACTACGAATCAACCAATCAGTTAGTGACCACAACAAGGACCACCATATACTATGAATCAACCAATCAGTTAGTGACCACAACAAGGACCACCATATACTACGAATCAACCAATCAGTTAGTGACCACAACAAGGACCACCATATACTACGAATCAACCAATCAGTTAGTGACCACAACAAGGACCACCATATACTACGAATCAACCAATCAGTTAGTGACCACAACAAGGACCACCATATACTACGAATCAACCAATCAGTTAGTGACCACAACAAGGACCACCATATACTACGAATCAACCAATCAGTTAGTGACCACAACAAGGACCACCATATACTACGAATCAACCAATCAGTTAGTGACCACAACAAGGACCACCATATACTACGAATCAACCAATCAGTTAGTGACCACAACAAGGACCACCATATACTACGAATCAACCAATCAGTTAGTGACCACAACAAGGACCACCATATACTACGAATCAACCAATCAGTTAGTGACCACAACAAGGACCACCATATACTACGAATCAACCAATCAGTTAGTGACCACAACAAGGACCACCATATACTACGAATCAACCAATCAGTTAGTGACCACAACAAGGACAGAGTGCCAAAGAGAGACATGAAACTTCAAAGGAGCTTCCTGCATGAAACAGGAAAAATCAAAATAAATGTACAAAGATATAAATAAATACAAGAGGCCCAATGGGCCTGCATCGTTCACCTGGTTTTAATATCATACTTGTAATCTTAAAAGTGGACTAAAATACAGCTACAGGCGGAATATCAGTGTTTGATTCATAAGAACCTATTAAAAGATGTAAATGTATGACCCCTGTGACCTTGATTGTCGAACAAGGACATTAGGTTGAACAGAGTTTATTGTCTTCCAACCCAGCATGCTTCTGGTAAAATATCATTACCCTGGACCGTTTGTTTATACAGAACAAATCATTTAAAGATTTAAACATATATTGACCACTGTGACCTTGAATATGGGTGAAGGTCATTCACTTGGTAGTCCTTCATCCCAGCATGTTAATGGCCAAATATCATCACCCTTGGCCTTTTGCTTATTAAAAAGAAGTCGTTTTAAGGTTTAAAACATATTTGACCCCTGTGACCTTGAAAAAAAGATGAAGGTCATTCATTTGAACAAACTTTGTAGCCCTTCATCCCAGCAAGTTACTCGCAAAATATCATCACCTTATACCTCATTGTTATTCAGAAGGAGTTGTTAAAAGGTTTTTTTCATCAGGACAAACTCTGTAGTCCTTTATTCCAGCATGCTACGGGCCAAATATCATCATCATCCTAGGCATTTTGGTTATTCAGAAGAAGTTGTATTACAGGTTTCTAACATATTTGACACCTGTGACCTTGAATATAAGTCAAGGTCATTCATTTGAACAAACTTGGTAGTCCTTCATCTTAGCATGCAACAGACCCAATATCATGACCCTGGGCCTTTTGGTTATTGAGAAGTTGCATGAAGATTTGAACATATTTGACCCATGTGACCTTGAAAGTGGGTCAAGGTCATTCATTTGAACAAACTTGGTAGTCCTTTATCCCAGCATACTACAGGCCCAATTTCAGAACCCTGGGGCTTTTGGTTATTGAGAAGTCGTTTGAAGATTTTACGGCATTTGAACCCTGTGACCTTGAATGTGGGTCAAGGTCATTCATTTGAACAAACTTGGCAGCCCTTCATCCTAGCATGCTACAGGCCCAATATCAGTACCCTGGGCCTTTTTGGTTATTGAGAAGAAGTTGTTTAAAGTAAAATATTGACGACGGCCGCCTTCGGGCCAGGTGAGCTAATAATGATTGAAAAGTAACAAATCAGTGGAATTCTCCAACATGTATATATATAGAAATGGGATGTATTATACCTCCATGTAAAGTATACCTTAACAATGAAATAGTCCCGCTTGAAGCCAACACAAATTGTATCCTTACACCAAACCATGTCTCTGGGCACATCGTACATGTTGAATTCAGGCTGGAACAAATATAGTTCTGATTAAGTTCAAAATGAAGTTAATTTAAAAATAAAACATCTAATGGTCAGTGGTCCGGTGTTAATTTAGACAGTCTAGGTCTCAAAAACTTTAACATCCAATGGTCAGTGGTCCGGTGTTAATCTAGACAGTCTAGGTCTCAAAAACATTAACATCCAATGGTCAGTGTTCATATAGTGCTAATTTAGACAGTCTAGCTAGGTCTCAAAAACAGTAACATCCAATGGTCAGTGGTCCGGTGTTAATTTCGACAATCTAGGTCTCAAAAACATTAACATCCAATGGTCAGTGGTCCGGCGTTAATTTCGACAGTCTAGGTCTCAAAAACATTAACATCCAATGGTCAGTGGTCCGGCGTTAATTTCGACAGTCTAGGTCTCAAAAACATTAACATCCAATGGTCAGTGTTCATATAGTGCTAATTTAGACAGTCTAGCTAGGTCTCAAAAACATTAACATCCAATGGGCAGTGGTCCGGTGTTAATTTCGACAGTCTAGGCCTCAAAAACATTAACATCCAATGGTCAGTGTTAATTTAGTGCTAATTTAGACAGTCTAGCTAGGTCTCAAAAACAGTAACATCCAATGGTCAGTGGTCCGGTGTTAATTTCGACAGTCTAGGCCTCAAAAACATTAACATCCAATGGTCAGTGTTCCGGTGTTAATTTAGACAGTCTAGGTCTCAAAAACATTAACATCCAATGGTCAGTGGTCCTGTGTTAATGTAGACAGTCTAGGTCTCAAAAACATTAACATCCAATGGTCAGTGTTAATTTAGTGCTAATTTAGACAGTCTAGCTAGGTCTCAAAAACATTAACATCCAATGGTCAGTGGTCCGGTGTTAATTTAGACAGTCTAGGTCTCAAAAACATGAACATCCAATGGTCAGTGTTAATTTAGTGCTAATTTAGACGGTCTAGCTAGGTCTCAAAAACATTAACATCCAAATGGTCAGTGGTCCAGTGTTAATTTAGACAGTCTAGGTATCAAAAACATTAACATCCAAGGGTCAGTGGTCCGGTGTTAATTTAGACAGTATAGGTCTCAAAAACATTAACATCCAATGGTCAGTGGTCCGGTGTTAATTTAGACAGTCTAGGTCTCAAAAACATTAACATCCAATGATCAGTGGTCCGGTGTTAATTTCGACAGTCTAGGTCTCAAAAACATTAACATCCAATGATCAGTGGTCCGGTGTTAATTTCGACAGTCTAGGTCTCAAAAACATTAACATCCAATGGTGAGTGGTCCGGTGTTAATTTAGACAGTCTAGGTCTCAAAAACATTAACATCCAATTGTCAGTGGTCTTGTGTTAATTTACAGTCTAGGTCTCAAAAACATTAACATCCAATGGTGAGTGGTCCGGTGTTAATTTAGACAGTCTAGGTCTCAAAGACATTAACATCCAATGGTCAGTGGTCCAGTGTTACTTTAGACAGTCTAGGTCTCAAAAACATTAACATCCAATGGTCAGTGGTCTGGTGTTAATTTACAGTCTAGGTCTCAAAAACATTAACATCCAATGGTCAGTGGTCCGGTGTTAATTTAGACAGTCTAGGTCTCAAAAACATTAACATCCAATGGTCAGTGGTCCGGTGTTAATTTAGACAGTCTAGGTCTCAAAAACATTAACATCCAATGGTCAGTGGTCCGGTGTTAATTTAGACAGTCTAGGTCTCAAAAACATTAACATCCAATGGTCAGTGGTCCGGTGTTAATTTAGACAGTCTAGGTCTCAAAAACATTAACATCCAATGGTCAGTGGTCCGGTGTTAATTTAGACAGTCTAGGTCTCAAAAACATTAACATCCAATGGTCAGTGGTCCGGTGTTAATTTAGACAGTCTAGGTCTCAAAAACATTAACATCCAATGGTCAGTGGTCCGGTGTTAATTTAGACAGTCTAGGTCTCAAAAACATTAACATCCAATGGTCAGTGGTCCGGTGTTAATTTAGACAGTCTAGGTCTCAAAAACATTAACATCCAATGGTCAGTGGTCCGGTGTTAATTTAGACAGTCTAGGTCTCAAAAACATTAACATCCAATGGTCAGTGGTCCGGTGTTAATTTAGACAGTCTAGGTCTCAAAAACATTAACATCCAATGGTCAGTGGTCCGGTGTTAATTTAGACAGTCTAGGTCTCAAAAACATTAACATCCAATGGTCAGTGGTCCGGTGTTAATTTAGACAGTCTAGGTCTCAAAAACATTAACATCCAATGGTCAGTGGTGTGGTGTTGATTTAGACAGTCTAGGTCTCAAAAACATTAACATCCATTGTGGTATTCATTTACCTCAGTTGGATTTTCAATGTAAATTAAAAACTATTTTTACTATATAGACTATTGTTAAAAAAGGTGACTTGACAAAAATAAGAAGAATTTATTATTTAACTTAATGTGTTTTCCAGGCCTCTCAGTAGACATTTGAGAGTATGTTTCTGACTCTCCAGTATTAGCTTTGGCTCATCACTGTCAAAGGGCATGTCCAACTGAATGTGTTCTGCCTCTCCAGTATTAGCTTTGGCTCATCACTGTCAAAGGGCATGTCCAACTGAATGTGTTACAACACTCTCAATCACAGGGCAAATACTATTAGACTTATCACATGCTCAACGTCCTGGTCAACAACGTCCTGGTCAACAACGTCCTGGTCAACAACGTCCTGCTCAACAACGTCCTGCTCAACAACGTCCTGCTCAACAGGATGTTAGCAGGTATGTTGGCTTCTAACAAATAGAAGCTGATAAAAAAAGAAATACTCCACCAACCTGTAGGTCCATGAAATCTCTGTTCTTCCAGTAATAGGTCTGAAACAGAACAACTGTGTTAAAATCACAGCTAATGCATCTGGTATCTCACAACCACAGGAAATAGATTTAATACACAAAACACTTCATTTCATATACTGTAGTCAAAACTACTTCAAAGCTGCTTGGTCAAAGTAATCATTTTTTTTCATTTGTAATTTTGAAGTATTGAAAGCCTGGGCACCTAAATCAAGCCATTTTCCATCACATTAAGGGCATTCAAGACCATGTTATAACATATACAAACTCCTTATAAAAATGTTTGTTTTCCAATTGCATTGACATAAAGTTTTATTTAATAAATTTTTCATCCCTCTTATTCCCCTTTAAGATAATCATGCATTCCAGATAACTTAGTTCATATCAATGAGGTCTCGACTCCATCAACATTTTTTGCATATAATTAAGTTTGATTATTTAACAAAAACATTTTATTACTAAATAATGTTGAAAAGCATGTCAAAAAGTTGAAAAGACCTACCTGTATCTTGCGTTTTATAGCGACAGACAGTCTGAGGGTACAAGCAACCTCCCCACTCAAGGACTTTGTCCTCTGTAAACACAGAGTAAGAACAGGTGAAACAAACATATATCAAAAAGTGTCAGCTATAAATTTTGTCCTTTTTTCTCTGCATGCAAAAATAGTTATAGACATGAACAATATACAATAACAATATACAACATTTATATAGTGCCCTATATAATTTGTAAAATTACTCTACAGCACAATATTTGGATAATAATATTAGTTATAATTGTTAAACAAAAAGGCTTACAATCACCATTATACATTAAGCAAAAAGAAAATGATCTTAATGTGCACATAAATGAATAAATAGAGGGTGATATGTACATGACATCTGTGCAAAGAGCCTAAAATGCAGACGTAAAGAGTTGAGTTTTTATGTCCTTCTTGAATTTGGCCAGAATATTTGACTTTCTAATAGCAGATGGTAAGCTATTCCACAACGTGGCCAAAACCCTCCCAAAGCACAGGTTTCCGTAGGTCACAGTATGAGATTTTGGAACACACAACAAAGATTCTGTTTCCGACTGCAGTGATCATGACGGCTGATACAGGCTAACAAGCTTCTGTAGGTACTGGGGAGCTGTTCCATTCAGTGCCTTGTATATGTACACCAAAATTTTGTACTGCGACCTGTATCGTACAGGTAACCAGTGCAATGAATACAGCACAGGTGTGATGTGCTCTCTCTTTCGAATATGATTAACCAGGCGTGCTGCAGTGATCTGGACCCTTCTGCAGACGACTAGTTGGTTTGAGCAAATGAAAATAGAAATGATGAGCAACAACACCACTGAATCCGGTACAAAATGTAATGTTTGATTTACATCCTACGTTTCCCCCCCCCCCCCCCCCCCCCTATTTTATGGTTTATTATCCTGAATACAATAGGAAATAACCGGATGGGACAGAAAATCAGAGTCAGAAAAATCGCATTCTCTATCCTCATCCTGAGTCTCCGTAAAATTAGAGCAACCAGGAGAGCCATGAAGAATGTCCCTCTCATCAATAGGAGAGGCAGAGGCACCCGCTGAATCCACCTCCATCAACGTCACCCTCCAAGGAGGGGAGAGAGACTGTGACCTACCTGAAGGAACTATAGGAGCAAGCGACAGTCCCTGAGAAGCAGCAGGAGCAGGATCAAAAGAACCTGGAACCTGCAGCAAGGTAGTAGTCGACACAGGACAACGGAAGTTACTAGTAGACATGAATTCCAAAATAGGAGCTCGAGACAACGCAGCACGACCAGAAGCCCTAGCATCACGCGGTCTCTGCCTGACAGAACCGGCAGCAGAAGCTGGCTGGGAGCGCGAACATTTACGAGAACAGCTCGGTGGCGGATGGATGGGGGAACCCATCGCCACAGGCAAGAAGGGGGAGGGGGGGGGCATATCCAGGCTGGAACCCCATCTGGGGTGGAGGGGGAGCACACAGAAAAGCCCCCTGCTGGGAGAAACCCCAAGACTGCCCATAGGCGGTCAGTGGTTTGGGCGGCGCAGAAAAAGAAGCCTGTTGACCGCAATGTGCTCCATTCCCACCCTTCAAAAAGGTGGGATAAACCAGGGAGGGCCCTGGAACAGAGCCACCACCCTAATGCCCGAAACCGGAGGCAGGACCAGTTTGGGGGACGGGGTAGGTAACCTAGGGCCACCTACACACCCACCGCCATAAGCCCCACCTGACTGACCTGGCCAACTCCACTCCTTTGGTTTTACACTAGGAGTAAGAGTACATACCTGAACACCTATGGCAAACAGTGTGTCTCCTTTGGTTTAACACTAGGAGTACGAGTACATACCTGAACACCTATGGCAAACAGTGTGGCTCCTTTGGTTTTACACTAGGAGTACGAGTACATACCTGAACACCTATGGCAAACAGTGTGGCTCCTTTGGTTTTACACTAGGAGTACGAGTACATACCTGAACACCTATGGCAAACAGTGTGGCTCCTTTGGTTTTACACTAGGAGTACGAGTACATACCTGAACACCTATGGCAAACAGTGTGGCTCCTTTGGTTTTACACTAGGAGTACGAGTACATACCTGAACACCTATGGCAAACAGTGTGGCTCCTTTGGTTTTACACTAGGAGTACGAGTACATACCTGAACACCTATGGCAAACAGTGTGGCTCCTTTGGTTTTACACTAGGAGTACGAGTACATACCTGAACACCTATGGCAAACAGTGTGGCTCCTTTGGTTTTACACTAGGAGTACGAGTACATACCTGAACACCTATGGCAAACAGTGTGGCTCCTTTGGTTTTACACTAGGAGTACGAGTACATACCTGAACACCTATGGCAAACAGTGTGGCTCCTTTGGTTTTACACTAGGAGTACGAGTACATACCTGAACACCTATGGCAAACAGTGTGGCTCCTTTGGTTTTACACTAGGAGTACGAGTACATACCTGAACACCTATGGCAAACAGTGTGGCTCCTTTGGTTTTACACTAGGAGTACGAGTACATACCTGAACACCTATGGCAAACAGTGTGGCTCCTTTGGTTTTACACTAGGAGTACGAGTACATACCTGAACACCTATGGCAAACAGTGTGGCTCCTTTGGTTTTACACTAGGAGTACGAGTACATACCTGAACACCTATGGCAAACAGTGTGGCTCCTTTGGTTTTACACTAGGAGTACGAGTACATACCTGAACACCTATGGCAAACAGTGTGGCTCCTTTGGTTTTACACTAGGAGTACGAGTACATACCTGAACACCTATGGCAAACAGTGTGGCTCCTTTGGTTTTACACTAGGAGTACGAGTACATACCTGAACACCTATGGCAAACAGTGTGGCTCCTTTGGTTTTACACTAGGAGTACGAGTACATACCTGAACACCTATGGCAAACAGTGTGGCTCCTTTGGTTTTACACTAGGAGTACGAGTACATACCTGAACACCTATGGCAAACAGTGTGGCTCCTTTGGTTTTACACTAGGAGTACGAGTACATACCTGAACACCTATGGCAAACAGTGTGTCTCCTTTGGTTTTACACTAGGAGGACGAGTACATACCTGAACACCTATGGCAAACAGTGTGTCTCCTTTGGTTTTACACTAGGAGTACGAGTACATACCTGAACACCTATGGCAAACAGTGTGGCTCCTTTGGTTTTACACTAGCAGTAAGAGTACATACCTGAACACCTATGGCAAACAGTGTGGCTCCTTTGGTTTTGGACAGACATGTCAGCAGACCAAATGTAGATAGTTCGTGCACATTGATGATGTTATCTGTAAAACAACAAGTGAGATGATTTAATCAGTACTAGGTCTACCTTCAGATTGTTGTTCAACAAATTTAGTGCTCTAATTGATTTTGAAGGCCAAATGTGCCTTTTCTTTTACAGGAGAGACTTGTAATATACATTTCAATAGGTCTATATGTTTGTGTATGTGTATTTTTTAGCCATTTTAATAAACCTGGAATTAGCAAAAACCTAAAGATGATTTTTCCAGATGTTATTGCCACGGAAGAATTTCCTGATATTACAATGTTGAGTAATTGAACATGATTACAAATCTATTCAGAAATTGTTCACTGTGAACAGCAATTTACAGACAAATTCCTGCTGATTTTAGGTGTTAATTTTCTCTGCTTGTAATGTATTATAAACAAATAAAGTGTATAAACAATATCATATTATGAAGCAATATGCCCTGACTAGCTGTAGGCCCTGACTAGCTGTAGGCCCTGACTAGTTGTAGGCTAACCAGCCACACAAGGTTCCTTTGTGTCATATAGGACAGGTCTACTTTCAAATTCAAGGGTTCTCAGAATTTGCCTTGTTTCATACTTTTATGCGACTCTTGTAATAAATGTAAAGATATTTGAAGTATAATTTTAGATATATATATATTGACTGTACATATATATCTATCTAAAATTATACTTCAAATATCTTTACATTTATTACAAGAGCCGCATAAAAAGCATAAAAGTTTATAGCTGATTGAGTGCCAGCAGCTACATACGATGGGCCCCATTAAGTTTGAAACTTTCTTTTCATGAAACTGGTACTTATATTAAGATTCTTATTTCAATCGTTGTGTAAAAATCAGAACTTCTTTGACACTTGAAAAAGCATATTTTATATATATTTGAAATAGTAATCTGCATTAAATTTACCTGAAAGACTGATGAGCAGGAATAATTCTGGTACCACTGCCAACTGCAATTAAAAAAATGTTTAAATGATATGAAAAACGTCTGGCCACCATAGTAAACCAATTCAATTGCCTAGCAAAGACACACAAATCTCTATAAATAGCAATGCCTAGTCGTCAAAGCCATCTTTATTATGATAAAATTGGATACCACTTACACTTGCTGGCAAATATCTCTTCCATATTTTTGATAAAACACAGCATATTTATATAAGGAGTAATTTTTTTTGTCCCTACCTTATTTTTTAATTCATTATTATAAGTCAAAACATGAATACAGGCATTTAACTGTTTTCATATAGCATTTACAGCCAACATGAAGGCTAACAAGAGATTTAAGGAAAATTGCCATCTAAAAGCAAGTCAATACTTTTAAATCTACTAGAACAATGGCAGGAAACAATTTTCCAAACAATATGTTACCAAACTATGTTCTCGTTTATTGTTGGCGTATTACTTCCTTATGAAAAAGCAGTTGATGACTTACAATTTACCTGTTTTTATTATCCTAGAAAGCTTATTAGTATTTACAAACACCTCAATGAATGTACCTGATAGTGTAGTACACTTTCTGAATACCTGTAAAATGGGTTTCCTGGCAAAATTCTTGTATGATCTCACCAAAGTCACCTCTGCTTTTGCATCTACAAAATATAAACACAAGCAAACTGAAGCATAATACATATCCCTAACATGACAAATCATCTGGTTTAAATACTTTCATCTATGAATATTGACCAACAACGCTAAAAATGTTCACTGAAGCAAAATAAGTGATGTTATTTACCCTAATTAAGCCTCAGGTGGTGATGGATCACAACAAGCTGGGATGGAGATTTGTTTAGGTTTATTTTTAATAACAACCCTCAAAAATATCTGTTCAAGCGTGTTGTCACACGTCACCATCCGAGGCCTACTTCTGTATATATTGGTGGTACACCCTACACCCTACCTCTGTATATAGTGGTGGGACACCCTACACCCGACCTCTGTATATATTGGCGGGACACACTACCTCTGTATATATTGGCGGGACACCCTACCTCTGTATATATTCGTGGGACACCCTACCTCTGTATATAGTGGTGGGACACCCTACACCCGACCTCTGTATATATTGGCGGGACACACTACCTCTGTATATATTGTTTATATATTGGTGGTACACCCTACCTCTGTATATATTGGTGGGACACCCTACCTCTGTATATATTGGTGGGACACCCTACACCCTACACTGTCCCTGTATATATTGGTGGGACACCCTACCTCTGTATATATTGTTGAGACACCCTACCTCTGTATATATTGTTGACACCCTACCTCTGTATATATTGTTGAGACACCCTACCTCTGTATATATTGGTGGGACACACTACCTCTGTATATATTGTTGGGACACACTACCTCTGTATATATTGGTGGGACACCCTTCACACTACCTCTGTATATATTGGTGGGACACCCTACACCGTCCCTCTGTATATATTGGTGGGACACCCTACACACTACCTCTGTATATATTGGTGGGACACCCTACCTCTGTATATATTGGTGGGACACCCTACACCGTCCCTCTGTATATATTGGTGGGACACCCTACCTCTGTATATATTGTTGAGACACCCTACCTCTGTATATATCGGTGGGACACCCTACCTCTGTATATATGGGTGGGACACCCTACACACTACCTCTGTATATTTTGGTGGGACCCCCTACACACTTCCTCTGTATATATTGGTGGGACACCCTACACTGTCCCTGTATATAGTGGTGGGACACCCTACACACTACCTCTGTATATTTTGGTGGGACCCCCTACACACTTCCTCTGTATATATTGGTGGGACACCCTACACCGTCCCTCTGTATATATTTGTGGGACACCCTACACACTACCTCTGTATCTATTGGTGGGACACCCTACAGACTACCTCTGTATATATTGGTGGGACACACTACCTCTGTATATATTGTTGGGACACACTACCTCTGTATATATTGGTGGTACACCCTACACACTACCTCTGTATATAATGGTGGGACACCCTACCTCTGTATATAGTGTTGAGACACCCTACCTCTGTATATATTGTTGACACCCTACCTCTGTATATATTGTTGACACCCTACCTCTGTATATATTGTTGAGACACCCTACCTCTGTATATATTGGTGCGACACCCTACACCCTACCTCTGTATATATTGGGGGGACACCCTACACACTACCTCTGTATCTATTGGTGGGACCCCCTACACACTACCTCTGTATATATTGATGGGACACCCTACCTCTGTATATATTGGTGCGACACCCTACACCCTACCTCTGTATATATTGGTGGGACACCCTACACTGTCCCTGTATATATTGGTGGGACACCCTTCACACTACCTTTGTATATATTGGTGGGACACACTACCTTTGTATATATTGGTGGGACACCCTACACCCTACCTCTGTATATATTGGTGGGACACCCTACACCCTACCTCTGTATATATTGTTGGGACACCCTACCTCTGTATATATTGGTGGGACACCCTACCTCCCTATGTATTGGTGTTGGGACACCCTACATACCGCTTGGTCCATGTTGATGATGAAGAAACTACAATCACATCTTAACAGATTATTGGCGTTGGGTCTTCATTTTCCAGCATGATTATAGTATTTTCCCTTATTAGAGTTCACATAAATGTGAAATTTAGCACTAAATTGTCAAATGGAACACTTCCAGTCAACCTGTTCTATCATGCATGATATGCATAAAGCAAAACATGTGATCATCACTATGATTGTTTATTTGGACTTTTATAGCACTAACAATTACAGCCAAACAAAATGCAGACTTAACTTGTTCACCCCGAAGACACATTTGAACTCTTCCAATTCAAAGGTCTGAATAGTTCATTGTGATATTTCAGGGGTGCATGAGTTAAACCAGTTATTACTGAACTACTGGTGTACAAAGACTACAGTGTGCAGAGGTACATTTTTCGTTGGATACCTCAAACACTTAATCTAATATTTCCTGAAGACCTGATTTGCTTGATAGCTAGTTGTTGTGCTTTAAAAGTTTAATCAAGGTATGAAACAGCATAAGTCTGTTAAGAAGTTGGCTCCATTAAATAAATTTCATAAGCAGTTGTCATAAAAAAATTCTAACATAACAATGAAGAACCCCTGTATTTCTACATACCTGCTCCTGTTGTACGCTTCACTTTGTATTGTAAGAGATGGCATTCTTTTGTCCCAACAAGCAATGTGTCCTCTGAAAGGTTGAAATAACATGCAATCACATATAATAAACAGTTTATATGTTCTTATATATCATTAAAATGTATACAAATCATTTAAAAGGTCTTCTTTACATTGGGTCTACATTTGGATCAAATTTATCTCTGTCATTGCTGGAGAACTTAGAACTTCTAGAAGAATATTGATACAGAATAAGGCTTAAGGTAAAGGGTTCTAGTACTGCACCACTGCATCAGTTATAATCATGAAGAGGAGTTCCAATCAGGGTTTTTTCCTTGTAGTATTCTCTATAGAAAAGATGAAGCAACTAAAATGACTTATTTTGATATTGGCAAAGTGTAGGCTTTGTTGTGTGAATGTTAGGAGTTTGACTCATGCTATTTTCTTGTTTTCATTTTTATTTCTAGTTTCAAACATTCAAAATTTGGAACAACTGCAGTTCTGTCTTTTGAAAAGACTCTTTTTACAATGGTAATGATATAGTTACACTTCCTGGTAGTGTCTACCTTAAACAAAATACTGATTGATTGCCTAACACTTACACTGGCTCAGAAAAAAAAAAAATCTGTAAAAATTTCTGATATTATCCACTTTGACAATTTATTTTCTCGTTTTTTGTTCTGGAAATAGTCAGTTGTCTTTTTTTTGTTAAATTAATTAGTATCTCTGCTAAAACAAAAACACAGAAAATGTTTACCTACATGTTAATGAGTGTAAATTATCAATAGGAAATCATGCAACATAAATTAAACAGTTTTAAAGGATTGACTAAAACCAGTAAATATGACATTATCAAAACAGAATATTTTCCCTATCTACCAAATAAAAATTACAAGTCCTGGGTTGGGTTTTGGCAAGCCAACAGTTTGTTAATAATGGCCTCAAGTTGCAATAGGAAATGGTTTACAGTAAGCAGCATCTTAATTCTTTAGAGGACAAAAGCTGGGATTTTCAAACTCTAGATGAAACATTATGTAATAAACGTGTGACAATCGATTCTGTCCTGATCTGCTACATGATGAAGATAAGATGCGTAAATACAGTGATTACACCAACAAGAAGAAATCATTACTGGAGTCTTGCCATTCCACTAGTAAATAATAGATATAATTACTATAACTTACAGATATTATTAATACATCATATGTGAAAGCGATACACATAAATAATGATGAAAATACAAATATAAACAACTCTGTATTTAAAGTGTTTTCGTATACAAACTTGGTAAGTTGAAATATACATCATATGAAAACTTGCGTCAGTTTATCATTTATGATAATGAACGACATTTTTCTGCACCTTCGTCCAAAAACACAAAGAGAAATACAAGCAGGCGTGTAAACAGCGGTTAGAAACACTTGCGATAATTTGTCAAGCAGATACATGAACGTGTATTAAAAGGGCGTTATAAAATGACGGAAATGAAGATGTTTCTATGAGAAACTGTCAAGCCGTGTTTACCGTAACAAGCTACAGATTCAATTTTCAGGGGAAGCTTTTCCAGAATCGGAATGGCCTCATACGCGTCATGCATCGCACTTGTTTTCTATTTGACAATGATCATCATGAAACTGATATACTGAGGCCGAACATATCATCGATTCAATCGAGTAAGGAGTGCAGACCAAGACGATTCTTTCGTTTTCACATGACTGTCTTTTTGAAACTCTTTTGTCAAGAGAGTTCCACTTCCGTTAAGACGTCTGCTTTGAGTGGGCGTGGCAAAGTTGATTTAATCTTCTAGCTATCGTGGTCCAGTGCACGTATTTTTTTATAATTTTTGGTGTGTAATAGTTACAAGGAATAAACAATTTATTTAAAGTATTAAAGTGTGAATATTTATTTTTAGGTTCAACAAGCCCCCTAAAGGTGCAACTTGTACTAGTTATCAAAATGCTATACTATAACGTTAACATAGTCAATAATGAGGCATCAAGGCTGATGTCTCCTTAAAAAATAGTTCCTTGGACTTCTAACATGTCAGTCTCTTTCGTGACCCAACAAATTGCTACAAAGTGACATGATCTAAATTCATTTATACTGGGTGTTGTTAGTATGAATGACATACAGATAACAATAAACAATTAATCATACAGCTTCCTTTCATTTTATAAAAGTATGTCCTCTTATCAAGATGATGTTTATGTTTATAATAACTTCAATAAATAAATTTCATGACAATAAGTATCTCTGCACTTTTAATAATAATAATAATAATATACAGCATTTGATATATAGCGCCCTATCTAGCTAACCTAAGCCACCCTAAAGCGCTTTACAGTACAGGGATACAAAAAAAAATTACAATCAATACAATTAGCATATACATTAATCAATACAATTTGAGGACTTCGCAGGAGCTGCCTTATCAGGCGCTAACTACTAGTCCTATGCCACCTGGCTAATATCTCCCTATGTGTGTATGCTTGCGTGTGTGCTGGAGATGTATTGTGTTCTGTTTGTAGTGGGACCATGCTTTATACGGTATCATTTATAGTGCCACCTCACTTGAATTCAACAGCACAGATACCGCAACATCCACCCCAGACCATTTTATACTCCACCTGGGTTGTTGGAGTTGTGTGGGCAGGAGAAAAACACTTTCCCTGAATATTCCATGCGTAGGACGACTTCGGGGATCAAACCCCGGCCACCTGCTTGGAAAGCCGGAATGTTAACCACTCGACCAATCCGCCCGTACATTTTTGCAAATGTAACACTGATCATATTTCTCACTTAAGATCATGATTATTGCCACTCGTATATGGCCCAGAAAGCAGAGCACCTGTTTTTCTCTTAATTTGTTTCAGGTGGGGACTTCTATGTCTCAAGTTTTACATGATATCTTCTTCAGCAAGATCCGATTTTGTCATTGTGCGTTGATGCAATGGTATCTTTTTATAATTGTCTGCTTCAAATTAATAAGAACAATATGACTTTCAAAGATTTGATGAAAAATACATAGGGACTAAAATATGTTCTTGATTTGTAGTATATATTTAAGTTACTTAGTTGAATCTCTTTGAGTTTTACTACAATACCTCGTGCCAAGTCTATCCATGCTCTGATGAAGTAATATTGTACAAACTAAGCAATGTTCAAATCCATGTGCTGAAACATAGCTACAGATAAGAATCATACAAAAGGCTCTAAACAAAACTAAGAAATAACAAACAAAGCTGTCCTTGTTTTCATTTTTTTTAATGATGACGTCTATAGATGACCAAATTTCTTTGTATAGAGTAGCTAAATTAACAAAATACAAGCATGCTCATTTTCACACTTGACTCCCAGCATAACAAAGTCACTAATAGCAATTAACAATACACAGAAACAAAAAAGCATACAGGACAATAGGAATTCAACTGATGCCTGAATAAACTATACATTATACTTAAATGCTTGTGTTTTTGTTCCTTCGTACAGGTATTCACGTCAATGTGGTGGCAAGGAAATAGGTGTTATGAGTTCTTTACTTCTGTAGGATTTAGGACTGCTATTACTGTAGTCGGTTTCTCACTAGCCTAGTAGGCAAGGCCACTAGATACCTGTGGGTTATGCCGGAAATCAAATACAATTTAATTTATTCTACTGATTTTATTCACTGATAATATGCAAGACAAAACTTCCACAACTCAATAGTAATTAAGGATCTCAAACAAAATTCCTTTGCATTGATTTTTTATAGAAAGAAATCCACAAAATTCAAATAAAGTCAGAAGAAATAGAAACTTGTTTTAAAACTTTTTATCTCCTGATTTATCTACCTCGGTAAGTTTGCAAAATACCACTTTTATCATAAAAATAAAATAAAATAAAATAAAATAAAGACCTGCTGTCATTTTAGCCTATAACAGTGAACTCATGATACCTTATTCATTGTTACTTGTAACATTATATGATTTTACACTTCACATAATCTGAAATTTATATACTAAATCATTATCAACAAGGGTTGAAAATTAACCTATGCATGCATGTACTTCATAAACAACACCCTACAACTGTGATTTTTTTTCTAAGTCGAAGTAAAAATAAAAGGTGAACAGGTACAAAAAAACATCCACAATATATGTATTGTGTAAATTATTTAACCAGGCTACAAGTTTATATGGAGAACAACTACTCGGGAATCAAACGACAGACAAAATGCTGGTCTGGATTGCTTGCTGTAGTTTGTCTCCTCTCAACCAGGCCTTTGCTTCAAAAATAAAAGACATGTCTAGTCTGCTTATCCTGACATTTTTATTGGCTGATGTTTATATATCCTATGGCAATAATCCTTTTTAATATGGCATCTGTCAATTTTGCGGGTAAACTCAAACTTCGATTTCCTATGATTGCTTCTATATAGTTCAACATATAGTACGTATACACAACATTGCCTTCATTATTCTGGTAGACAACTCTACATGTATATGGCTGTGTATTGACTGTTAACATCAAGAGACTGATCTGTTACCTTAAACCCGACATCAATGATGAGAACAAGGACCCTTCAATTTTGAAATAAAACATTTTAGAATTTATAATAATATATTTATCATGCAGAGTGCTTCTTATTCAACACCAATGCTAGATCACTTAAACTTTTTCAATGTAAACAAGATGAAATTCCGAAGCTCAAAGCAAAGCATTGATTTGTTAACTGAAATGGCCAATCAGCCCTTGTTTGGTCAGGATCCTGACCAAGGTGGTACATGGCCTGTTTTAGTATAAAAAAGCACAGTCTAGTGGAGAGAAATGGTACTAAGGTAGGTAATCCAGGCAATAATAGTTCATGGTATGGATTTACACTGCCTTGATCTCGCAATACACAGGGATTCTATTTCCCTTATTGAACTGCTTCCTCAGCCGTGGTGCTGGATTGTGATATACAATGAATTCTATCTTGAAAATATGTATCTAAATATATGTTATGAAACCATGAAACTTTTAACCATAAACTCTCTCTTTGAAGAGGCCAATCTATCACTTCAATGGTGGTTTACAAATTTTGGCAGTGCAAGGCAACTTCTAATATCTGACGATATATTTATATCACAACTCTGTTCATTATTCCTTTAACAGCACAGACTTTCATTCCAGCTCTTTCCTGAATGAACCATTTAAATGGAAACTTGATATTGAAAAACAATGGATGGAAATCAAGAATGTCTGTTCAGTGGATGGTGGTATACTGTTGGAAACACTATTTATTGAAACCTTGATAACCCAGTCAACTTTGTTCAAAGCAGAAGTAGATTTTGGATGTGTGGGACTATTTTATACAGAAGATCGAAAGCCTATCGGTTCATTACCTCAACTTCTAGCGGGAAAGTGCGACAACCAGTTCAGTGGAGGATGATATAAAATGATTGATCTGACGTATACTGTACATGTATATCTTGATCTGACATATACTGTACATGTATATCTTGATCTGACGTATACTGTACATGTATATCTTGATCTGACGTATACTGTACATGTATATCTTGATCTGACGTATACTGCACATGTATATCTTGATAATTTTGTCTCTCAATCCTGCACTTGACAGCAACAATGGTCCTGCTGTACTGGGATTAGTGTGTAATCAGTAAATGTGTGTTGTGGTGATATTCCTATGATAAGACCGTTCATTCCTATTTGTGTAACTGTATGTTATTTATTGATAATTCCTGCCTTGTTCCAGCCTAGTTGTTTGTGTGTATACATATAGATATATCTGTATAACTCATATAATGTCTTACACAGTTCAACACTGATGTAATGCCCACATCATTTGCTACATTGATACAGTTTTATTAATACCAAAAAATTCCCCTTTCTCGCTCTCCTTTTTTAACAATTGTTTTGATACATCTCCCTTGACCATGGCCAAATCCATTTGTAAATTTAGTTTAAACCTCACTCAAACAAACGTAGACGCTATAACAAGATCAGACTGTAGGGAAGTAGCTAGTCAAGCCTCCATCTCTAGTGTGATACAGACTTTAACAGCAAGACAAAGTTTGATATCAAAACAAGTCTTAGGACTTAAGACTTCAATCTCGTAGTATCAAACGGTTATTGAAATACCGTGTAACTTTCAAAACAATACAAAAATTAGATAAAAAATCTTTGGTAATTTTCATTTGAACTCGAATGATTATATTAAAACATATAAATATATATATATATACCAATAGAAAAATGAATGTTTGAGATCAGAATGTTAGTTCTTCAACAAAGCAATGACACAAACTCAGACATAAACAAAGCATAATTACCGTATCTATCCTGTACTAAGTCCTGGAGGCAAACACATATTCTTTGTCTTGAAGTAGAGGGGTGAGTTTACTACAGGACATGAAACAGTATTTGCTGGCATTTTTGACCATGGGCTTACTATATGATAAATATGGTGAACACATTTTTGGAAGTGAGATAAAGAGTTATCTACTTCTGATAAAAGTGATATCTTTCACCGAGTTGAAACTACAAAAGACTTCAGTTCCATGGAACACTCATTCAAAGCCACCAATTTTCTGATCAGATGTAGACGATGCAACAGTAGAATAAGTGGTTGTTTTGACACATTTCTGGTACATACACTAAAGGTATTTACATAAATACATAATTGATAACATCTTTGTACTCGAATAGTACAAGATAATAGCAGAAAATGGTGGGTTGTGTTAATTAGCCCATTCAGAAGGCACACAGCCTTATTGTCAAGCACGACGCTATAGAATATGGAGCTGAATATTTTAAGAATTTACCCTCACACTTTCTTTATGCACATTTTGTTTATACTCTACAATGTAATAAAAAGACAATTTAATGGTTTTCTAAATAAATATTTTACTTATGCATGACTTGTATGGCAGAATATAATGACAACTTTGTATCATACTTCGATCATGCTTGTGAAAAATACGGCATTCTCCATACAATACATGTTGCCGTGTCTTTAATAATACATGTAAACTTTCACCTATTATAGTTAACCCTTTTGAATTTTGAACACACAGGCATTACTTAACATGATGTGCAATACTTGTAGATAGCAAAATTTATAAGGAAAGCATGGTGTGAACCAGTATTGAAATATCCCATGGCAAAAAATGGTAACTGAGAAAATACATTAGGTCTACAGTATAAATATTATCCTAAAGCTTATATTACTTCACTAACAGGGGTGTATTCCAAACTTCAGGATGAATCCCTCAGGAGCAGAAACATATCTGTACCACTCTTTACAGAATGTATATAGTTACATAGAATCAAATGTATATAGTTACATAGAATGTATATAGCTATCTAGATGTATATAGTTACATAGAATGTATAAAGCTACCTAGATTGTATGTAGCTACATAGAATGTATAAAGCTACCTAGATTGTATGTAGCTACATAGAATGTATATAGCTATTTAGATTGTATGTAGCTACATAAAATATATATAGCTATCTAGATTGTATGTAGCTACAAAGAATGCCTATAGCTATCTAGATTGTATGTAGCTATATAGAATGTCCATAGCTATCTAGATTGTATGTAGCTACATAGAATGTATATAGCTATCTAGAGTGTATGTACATTGTAGCTACATAGAATGCCTATAGCTATCTAGATTGTATGTAGCTATATCAAATGCCTATAGCTATCTAGATGTATGTAGCTACATAGAATGTATACAGCTATCTGGATTGTAAGTAGCTATATAGAATGCCTATAGCTATCTAGATTGTATGTAGCTACATAGAATGCCTATAGCTATCTAGATTGTATGTAATTACAAAGAATGCCTATAACTATCTAGATTGTATGGAGCTACAAAGAATGCCTATAGCTACCTAGATTGTATGTAGCTACAAAGAATGCCTATAGCTATCTAGATTGTATATAGTTACATAGAATCATATAGCTATCTAGATTGTATATAGCTACAAAGAATGCCTATAGCTACCTAGATTGTATGTAGCTACAAAGAATGCCTTTAGCTATCTAGATTGTATATAGTTACATAGAATGTATGTAGCTATCTAGATTGTATGTAGCTATCTAGATTGTATGTAGCTACATAGAATGTATATATCTATCTAGATTGTATGTAGCTACATAAAATGTATAAAGCTATCTAGATTGTATGTAGCTACATAGAATGTATATAGCTATCTAGATTGTATCTAGCTACATAGAATGTATAAAGCTATCTAGATTGTATGTAGCTATATAGAATGTATATATCTATCTAGATTGTATGTAGCTACAAAGAATTTATATAGCTATCTAGATTGTATATAGTTACATAGAATGTATATAGCTATCTAGATTGTATGTAGCTACATAGAATGTATATAGCTATCTTAATTGTATATAGCTACAAAGAATGCCTATAGCTATCTAGATTGTATGAAGCTACAAAGAATGCCTATAGCTACCAAGATTGTATGTAGCTACATAGAATGTATAACGCTACCTAGATTGTATATAGCTACAAAGAATGCCTATAGCTATCTAGATTGTATGAAGCTACATAAAATATATATAGCTATCTAGATTGTATGTAGCTACAAAGAATGCCTATAGCTATCTAGATGTATATAGCTACATAAAATGTATAAAGCTATCTAGATTGTATGTAGCTACATAATATGTATATAGCTATCTAGATTGTATGTACATTGTAGCTACAAAGAATGCCTATAGCTATCTAGATTGTATGTAGCTACATAGAATGCCTATAGCTACCTAGATGTATATAGTTACATAGAATGCCTATAGCTATCTAGATTGTATGTAGCTACCTTATGTAGCTACATACAATCTAGATTAACTGACATAGTTTTATTTGATTTAAATAGTACCCAGGGTGCTTAAAAAATTGCAAAAAAATAAGTGTACTGATAAGAATGATTTGCAACCTAAGTGATTATGTTGCTCATAAGCTAAAAAACGAGCTTACAAAAGTTTGTTTGGTGGAACATTTGAATATAATAATAGTTTTGTTTACATTTGATCCTTTCAATATAAACTCTGTTTGTTTTCTTCCCTCTACATCTATTTCATAACACATGATATTTTGCTATTGAAACTGAATTGATAGACCTTTTACATATGAATCAAAGTCTATGATGTTCATGGTAGTAACAAAAGGGGGAGGGACACTATGGGAAATACTACTGTGGAATACTGTACAGCTGTGCTTCAAGGTCTACAGGATTAAACATAAGGCAAGAAGTCAAATTTAATTACTGAAATCTGACGAGCAACTATCAGAAAATGATCAAGGACAGAAACCATCAAACATCAACTGCCTTGTATACAATAGGCGAGTTCCATCATCAACCACTGATTGTTGTTAGGCTGTTTCATGTGATGCGGTTATATATAAGCCGAGCACAGCCTTGATTTCTGAGAAGTGCAGACTATGTCTACATCCTCAGGTCCAACCAAAAGAAACTTGTATGAGAAGCCATCATCATCCGGAATGCACCCTGTAGCTTCTTGTTTCTCTGCACAATGACCTCTACATGAGTGTGATCACTCTCTAGCTAGACCAACACCACCATAGTTTAGGATCAAACTTGCCCTACATGTACTGTACATACAACATACCGACAGTCAAATATCACAATTTTTTGTAGCACTATTGTGTTACAAGTCGACCTACATGAAGTTGACCCATATATTCAAATAGTTCTGACAATTTTCCAATACAGTAGTAATGATGATTTCCAGTGGAATTCAGACAATTTAAGAAGTACCTGGGATATCTAAAGCAAAATTGAAAATCTGCAGAATTCAACAGGTAGGGTAAACAAGCGTACATTTTACCCTTGATATTTAACCACAAACGCAGTGTATTAATGATAGTGAGGCTAAAGAGACCAGTATATTTTGGAACACACGCATCCAAGCAGTTATGTATCCTCGTTGTCTGATCCATGTTGACGATACTGTCGTTTGGATGCTTTTGTCCGTTTCTTGAATCTTTTAAATTCTGTAAAATTGGAATGACTACCTCCAGAGTTTTCAGAAGTTGAACACTGTGCATTTTCATTATTGCTATTTGACACAGTTACTGATATTTTGTCACAGGAGTTGTGTATATGAGAATTACCCATTAGCCCCATCGATGTGGAAGTGGAGGGTTGGTTACTGAAGTCTGTTTCGTGGAGATAAGCGCCGAGCTCTGAACCCTCGTTACTTTTACTTGGCGTAGCTTTACTCTTACTAACACCCTGGGGTTCATCTCTGCATGACTTTCCCCCCGAATCCTTTCCAGCATAACCTGCATTACTTTCAGAGTTGTTCTGCTCAATGTTTGGCTTTTTGTTGGATGTTGCTGCCGCAGAATGTTCTTCTTTATCACTATTGTCGGAATCACTCTTTAAGATGTTGTTTCTAAGCTGTTGAAGCCGCTTCAGCTGGAACTGAGCTTTTTGTTTTTGGGCTGAAAGCACATTTTCTGGATGGCCGGTGCAGTTTCCACCGCTACCAGAAGCAGAGTTTTTACTCTGTTCTCCATCACTGGATTCAGAACTAGATGATCTGGGTCGTTTGCGTTTTCTCTGCTTATTTCTCAGCGCCTTGCTAGCCTGCCTCTTCACTTCCTTACGTTTCACTATCAGCTCGGAGATGCTTCTCCTAGTGTTGCCAGTACTACTGGTCTGTTGCTGTGAGCTCGAATCAGTCGTACTTGAATTTGCATTACCTTCGGAAACATTTCCGTTTTGATTATTAGCTGAAGTATCTAACGAAGTGTCTAGAGATATACCAGAGGATTGCTCCTCCATACTGCGAGATGTCTGAACTGCAACCACACTGGCGAATGCAATACTGAATGGACTGAATGCCGAATCATCCTCGTAATTGATATCGCTACTATTATTGGCTACACTGTGGCCAACATCTGCCCCCGATTCAGACTCAGATCCATTTGATATGTCTGAGTGAGACAATTGAATGATTCGGTCATACAATTCCTGCTCGCTACTGGACAGATCATCTTCAGAGGAGCAACCCTCAAGCTCACGCTGGACCAGGGAATCGAAGAATGCCATCATGCGTGGGTCCTCCTCCGTGGAGTGACTAGAGTAATCATGGGTCATCACATGTCCACTTTGTAGCACTAGGTTGATGTACTCCTCATGGGTGTAGACTGATCTTTCCCCTATGTTCGGGGGTGGGGGCTTCTTCACTCCCAGGCCTCCCTCACAGTCGAGCATCTCAAACAGGCTCCATACCTGTAAAAATAACACATATTTCTTCAATTCTAGATAGGAAACTTGGACAATAATATTTCAGGAAATTTCTCATCTTTTTACTGCAACGTAAAAACAAAATAAAAAAGAAATGAAATTATATATTTTAAAAAAGATATTGCCATAGTTTGGTATATTTACAATCATAGTACACATATCACATGAAATCTGATCCAAATTCATATCTGCCAAACAATTGCAAACAATAGTTTTTCCTAGTGATGGAACTTAATCCTTTACAAATAATGCCTTTGTTTTTTAATTATTTTGCTAATTTTGGATGTTGCTGAGTTATGCCAATTAATTGTGAAATCTTAGTATGAAAATCGCTCAACACTGACTTTAGTTTTCTTGTAAATGTTGAAACTGATACTACAGCAAGGAGACAGGGATATCCCTGTGACAAGCTTTATCTGTGACAAGTTTTATCCTTGTGACTTCAATGTTATTTTTATAAGTGTTCTGAAGTAAAACCATCTTCCACTGCCTATACAGTATATATTTGTTTTCTCTGCATGTGTCTATAAAGTATAATGACAGGTTTGCTTTAAGAAGGTTTGCTTTGACAACTGTCCATAAAACATTTTTCTCTCCCTTGTCTATAAATGAAAGGCCAGCCTTCTGTTTATAACAAAGAAGTTTGCCTTCTCCAATCTATACAGAATAGTTTTTCTTTCTCCTCTGAATAAATAATAGGTTTGCTTTCTCATATCTATAACTAAAAGGTTTGCTTTCTCATATCTATAACTAAAAGGTTTGCTTTCTCATAACTATAAATAATATGTTTGATTTCTCATATCTATAATCAATATGTTTGTTTTTTCATATCTATAATTAATATGTTTGCTTTCTCATATATTTAAATAATATATTTGCTTTCTCATACCTATACTTATAAATACAGAATTGCTTGCTTTCTCCTCTCTTTGAAGGATAATGATAGGTCTGCCTATATAATGTTTTTCACCCCTGTCTATAAAGAATAGATTTGGCTTGTCCTGTCTATAAAGAATAGTTTTGGCTTGTCCTGACTATAAACAATAGATTTGGCTTGTCCTGTCTATAAAGAATAGTTTTGGTTTGTCCTGTCTATAAAGAATATATTTGGCTTGTCCTGTCTATAAGAAGATTTGGCTTGTCCTGTCTATAAATAGATTTGGCTTGTCCTGTCTATAAACAATAAATTTGGCTTGTCCTGTCTATAAAGAATAGATTTGGCTTGTCCTGTCTATAAAGAATAGTTTTGGCTTGTCCTGTCTATAAACAATAGATTTGGCTTGTCCTGTCTATAAAGAATAGATTTGACTTGTCCTGTCTATAAAGAATAATTTTGGCTTGTCCTGTCCATAAAGATTGTTTGTTTTCTTGCTATCAAATGGTTTTGATAGACAGGTAGTTTTCATCCACAGGTCATTATTAGCAGAAGACACCATTTTGGTTATTCTTAATCTGACACTTATGGTCAGACAGATATTATAGACAGGTGTTCCCTAAGGTAAACTGGCACTTATGGTCAGACAGGTATTATAGACAGGTGTTCCCGAAGGTAAACTGGCACTTATGGTCATACAGTTACTATAGACAGGTGTTCCCTAAGGTAAACTGGCACTTATGGTCATACAATTATTATAGAGAAGTGTTCCCTAAGGTAAACTGGCACTTATGGTCAGACAGTTATTATAGACAGGTGTTCCCTAAGGCAGGTTTCACTGTACCTTCACAATCTTTTCCACTCCCGAGGAGATGATCAAGTGATTGGTTGGGTTGAATCGCACTTGATTCACAATTGACCTATGACCTTCAAGTATCATGTGAGCATCATTTATGTATTGTCCTGCAAAAGTCAAGGTCAGAATTGCATTGAATCATACTGTTTTACTGTCTTCTAGACATGGAATAAACGTCGAGTATTCATATCTGAACAGGATTCAATACACAGTTATAAAGACAGGAATAATATTATTTCTATGTTCAAAAAGATTAGTTGAATTGAACCTGCTTCACTGATGCCCTAGCTCTGATCTTTCAGTATTGTCAGCATGCTCATATCATTTATAAAACAGTATCCTTGCTTCAACAAACATTGTAATTAACACTTAAAATCAATTATGGTTCAAAATTTCGTTGTTTCACCGGTAAGGCAAATATTTGCCAAAACTGTCATATAAAAGACAAACTTTTATTGTACATTTTGCAACTTCTTATCATCATGATTATGTCATATGAAGTTCAATCATGAAAAAATATCAAAAAAAATAGAACGATTTATTACTGGATTGTTTTCCTTCTAAATTATCTCAAAACTGGCATCAACAGTAAGAAAACATAACAAGCTATTCATGGAAGTGAAGACTTACGTTTTGATAGATTTTCTGGAACTTTCCACATGTACAGGTTGAAATCGTCTGACCCAGATAAGACATACTGCAAATAAAAATGAACAGAATTGTGAAGAGTTTCAATCCATTGAGTGGTATTCAATACATATATCTGTGTTCACAATGTTAGCGACAACTGTTATTTGTTATGTTTATTTAAGCTTTATAGTGCATTTAACTTACACTGTATTTGACATGAAGTGAAAAAGATCAATTATGCTGGACATTTCTATTTTTCCTTTTCAATTCTGTTTTTCCCCCCATATAATTCAGGAGAAAGGAAGAGTAACAGTTATAAGCTAAAATAATCAATGTGCAGATCAATGGACTGGGTTGAAACATGAACCAGCGGACCAGACCTATCTAAAGTGACCAGCTGACCAGACCTGTCTAAAGTGACCAGCAGTCCACACTTGTCTAAAGTGACCAGCTGACCACACCTGTCTATAGTGACCAGCAGTCCACACTCGTCTAAAGTGACCAGTGGACCACACCTGTTTATAGTGACCAGCAGTCCACACTCGTCTAAAGTGACCAGCTGACCACACCTGTCTATAGTGACCAGCGGACCACACCTGTCTATAGTTACCATTCCTTTTTATTGGTTACCTGAATGGTCACTATTGACAGGTTTAACAGTACATCGAGATTATCTGCAAATAAGCAGTATCTAAGGATGATTACTAGATATATTTCAAACAACCAAATCGTTGAAGTTTATAGTGAGATGAAAGTAACAGTATATATATACCTGGTCATTGTCTCCAGCAAATGTGCAGCTTTTCATGGTGCAGGAGTTGTAGTAGCCACTGTGGTCAAACTCACACAGAGGCTGCGAGCTGGACATACTATACAGGACAGGGGGAAGGCGACGTCGCAGGGCCAAGAGACGCTCCCCTGACCGACTGAACCGCACACTCATACAGCTCTGCTGCACATATCCTCCCCCATACCGCAGCAGACAGCTATGGAGGCAGAGACAGTATGAGTCAGTATTGAGCATTGATTCAAAGCAAGTCAAAAGAAGAGAACAATTTACGAGGGCTTCGACAGAACAGAAAGGAAAATGTGGTATTCTGATGGATTATCTGATGTTTCAGGTACGTCAGAAAACTGAAATTTGCACCCTGTAAAACAATCATCAGCTTACAAAGATTTAACAGCTACACAAACACAGAATTCTACATACACAACTGACATGTATACCATGTTTTACAAAACCCTGAATTATTCATTATATCAACTACAATCTTACGTTCTGGGTTTTCGGATATCCCAAAGGCCTATCCCCTCCTTTGCATTGGCTGTTGCTAGGAGGCGTGGGTCCACAGGATTGTACATCACAGCATGCATGGAGGAAGTGTAGTTGGCCAGACAAAATGGGTCTGCAAACAAAAAACAGTTGAATTATTCAACGGCAAAATCAGAAATGATGCTAACGTTTCTTCTAAAGTTATATTTCCACTAATGATAAATATTTGTGATTAAAAGTTTAAGGCCAACAAAACGAAAAGCTATTTTCTATAACTTCAGGAAAATAACCTGCTATTAAAAGATTTTAACTGCTTATTTATTAAAAAAATAATCTTACCACTGCTCGGCGGTTCACGGATATCATACACAAGAATGCGGCCATCGTCACATGCACTGGCAAACACGCTGACATTGTTTGGGTCTGCAGTAAGACTGTAAACAGCATCTTCATGTGTAAATACATCCAAGGTATCCCCTCTGTAAACCAAGTCAAGGTTATAGGTGTCATTTTTATATATTCCATGTAACATATCATCAAGCTTTAAATGTGGTTATAACAAAAGCATTAAGTATCTTTGTGGGTGGGTGGGTGGGTGGGGGGATAGTTAACATGTATCGCACCACCACCAGAAACACAATACAACCACTGTAGTATGGTTGTAAAGAAATACATGTTCATATATTACAAAGCATATTTGCACTTTATTGAGAAGAACTATTTAGCTCACTCAATCATACAACCAAGGTCACAACCAAAAGACAATTGTTTGTTTTACATCTATTAAGATTGTCCTCACAAAGAAATAACTAGAGAAGCGGTGAGGGAGCTCACAAAGACATACCCCTGCTTGTGCTTACAAGGTTTCTGGAGCAGAATTAAAAAATTGAAGGGCCACAACTGCCGGAAAAATAGTCATATCGCACATTCTTTTCTGCATGCACATCTTCATATGATGTACTTTCACTGTGTCAAGTTACAGAAAATTCCAACAAACTGTTAAAGAGGAGTTGCGCTTACAAGGTTTCCAGAGCAGAGAACATTTCAAGGGCCATAACTCCAGGAAAAATAGTCAAATTGCAAATTCCATTTTTTCATGCACATCTACATACAATGTAGTTTCACTGTGTCAAGTTACACAAAAATCCAACTCACAGTTAAGGAGTTGTACTTAAAAGGATCATGGATGGACAGACAGACGGACGGACGTACAGACAGATGGCTGGACACTGTGATTACTACATGCAGGGGGTATAAATACACTCAAATTGCCACATGTATTATCAACCATACATGTATTCTCAATCAAATCCAAGTAGAAGTACTTACGTGGAAATGTCATGCACAATGACTTGCTCATCATTTCCTATAAAAGAGAACAAGAAAGTAAAAAACCATTGAAATTAATATTTTCATCTATTACACTATAGTTATAACCTCTAAATACTGAACTCTTAAAGCGATGATTAATCTTACCACCAAAATCCATGAAAACTATAAAGATATATGATCCACAATTTTTCAACAAGGGCATTTCAAATGAAATTTCTCTGCCTTTTTACAAAAATAAAGTGTAAATAGCCATACTTGAAATGTTTTTGATACATTCTTGTAACAAACTCTATCACAATACTGGAATGTAACTTGTAAATATGTCAGGAGAGTTGGAATTATTTTTCGAATGTGTAAAACAGGAAAGCAAACTATATTTCAATTTAGTTTCTTGTCAACCGTTTACAATAATTTAAAAACATTGCCTTTCTTTGTCCATGTTTAAAATTATGTCATAAAGTTCAAATGTGCTGGAGAGATAAGAAAGGGCCATAACCATCATTATTTAATGCATCCCACTTTTACAATATGTACATGTTATATACTGTCATCTCACAGTGCCAGAAGACATAGTCAAAAACTGGGACAAGGAGATGTCAATTGGCAGATGAACAGACAGACAGCTGATAACATAATATACTTTGCTTTAGGTGGGTGTTATAAAAGCTGAATTCAGGCCATAGTCAGTGAGACAAACAGATAGGTACAGAAGGCAGCAGTTGTATGATATAAACATGTGGTCTCGAGTCATTAGATCCTTATATGACATTAACGTAGGCTAGTCTTACCTCCAGAAAATATCTTTCTGTTCTCATTGTCGAAGGCGAGGCAGAATATGTTACTATTGTGTTCGCCCTTCATGAACGCTGGTTTGCCAATGTTAGCCAAAGCTTTCTGGACATTCCACAGCAAAACTCGACGGTCATCACCACCTGAAATCAGGTCAGGAAAGGTTTCAGGTTAGACAAAATTATAACAATATACAATATTTGAATAACGCCCTGTATGATTTGCAAAATTACTCTACAAAACGAAATCCATGTCACAAAGGAATGGTTTTCTGCTATCAATGCTAGATATACTTTATGAAGCAGTAGCTAATTAACACTACCTATAGTGCGGGAAGTCAAGGGTTTGAATTTGTGTCTTGCCAATGAATTTTCCAGTCTTTTTAGTTTTTACACAAGGCTAGATTGCATTTTCTATACATACTTTTACTTTATTTTCTGTGCATTTCTGGCTCAAACAAAAATGACTTTGATGGCGTCACATTCACCTATTTAAATCTCCCAATCTGGCTTTATCTTCGTAAGACATACATTACTTATAATCAATTTACGACTAGCAGAATGAATTCTATTATGCAAAATACGTATACTGTGACATAGGACAGATATACTTAGGAAGCCTCGTACCATGAATCAATGGTTCTAGCTAGTGGAGTCTATTCAGGTGCCCACAACTTTAATTTTTCACTATTTTTGGAAAAGGGCCTGTACAAGAAAATTGAGAAAATTATGTCTGAAGTGGGAATTTTTGGAATTATACGGAATCCAAACATCAGCTGAAAATTGATAAAAAAAATATACTGTGTATTGGGCATTTTTGAAGAGCTTTTCAGAAAAATTCTTTCCTAATTTACTTTTAGAATTGAGCCAATTTTGACCCCTAAATGGACAATAAAAAAATTGAGATACATGAATAGTATTGCCAGCTAGTTTTGATGCTTTAAAATTCCTTTTGACCCTTAATTCTTCAAATGTCTGATCTACTTTTGAAACTGGGCCAATTTTGATCCCTGAATTGCTCGTAAAAAAATTGAAACGTATAGAATTGCCAGTTGGTTCTGAAGCTTTAAAATTCCTATGGACCCGTAATTCTTCAAATGCGTGCATAAATTCTTTATTCCAACAATATTATATATATATATATATAGTAACTGACCAAAATGACTACAACAACTACACTGACGGAAAAAGTAACACATTTTTTTGTGTGATAAATTCACAAAGTTCATTGAAGATATTTAAAATCAAATTTAACAGTTAACTGGATCCTTTCAAATTACTTTATGAGAAAAATGATGTAACACAAGCAGCAGTGCCAGAAAAATGGTCGCAATACAACCACTGATCCCCTATTTACCAGTGTCTATTCAATACAATTTATTGTGTCCTCCGAAATCACTTGCTGTACCCCCCCTGAATAACCATAGCTAGAACCCATTAGCCTAGTAAGCTGGGTGACATAACGTTTGGGGCTTTGTCATGTTTCTGAAATGCAGGTCCAGTTCGTCCCACAAATGTTCTAAGGGGACAAATCTGAACTGTATGGTGGCTAATCATTAGTACTGGAACATTGTTTTGGGCTAGAAAAGCAAAATCACACCCTAGCTTGCAAGGTGTGGTCTGGCATTTATGATCCTGCTGGTAGGCTAGATTCCACCAACGGATAGGGGGAATATTAACTTGCAATGGAAATAAGACCTGATCCTGGTAACTAACAGCTTGTGGGTTTTACCAGGTCCAGTACACTCTGCCGATTGAGCTATATAGCTGTAAAGACCTATGATAGCTCTATTGACCTATCTGAAATAGTTTATATGCGATTTGCTTTTTTAAGGAAAACGAAACAAAGTCGCTTTTAAAAGAAGATTTTATCATTAAGTTGAAAACAAAAGACATTAAATATAAGTATTGTTTTTAAAAAAAAAAATCGAAAATTTTACATTTATGAAAAAGGAAAATAAACATTGAAATGTATGCCTTTTGTAGTCGACATTACCATAAACCTTATTGTTTTATGTGACTTTGCTGTATTGTAAACAGGGTCATCTAAGGGGGGTGAAAATGCAAAAAACATACTTACTAAGCGATATAAAACATACATACAAAATACAAAACCAAATGAATAACATTTACCTATGAAAATATGGGGAGAACGTCTGACAATAAAATATAATAATGAACAAAGTAAATCCAGTTTAAGAACTTAGTTCCCCTCTCTGAGCCCCATAAAACCCCAGACCTCATTAATCCATTTCTAGTCAATAACTTTTATATGCAAACCATGAGCCATTGCTTTGAAAACAAGTTAAACTACACGAAAAGGAAAATAAATAACATGTCATTTGTCTAAAACCTTTTTTTCTGCTTTTATCCGGCATCAACAGATCAAGAATTAAACATTTGATATGGATGACGTCAACTTCCAAACGTTAGTTTGACACATTTATAGGATATCTTCTAAATAATGAAACTATGACTACATCGTCTTCGTTTACCTGAAGAAATCCAGTCCCCGCCATCATGAGAAAATTCTATAGCGTTGACACAGCCATAATGTTCTTTGAGGTCACGCCGATACAGACCTCGAGCGCACCGAAGTCGATGTCGCATCAAAAGCCTCTCGGGTTGTTTACACTTTTTGTCCACTCCGCGACTGGCCACATATGATAGCGGGCTGTAAACAAGCTCCTTTCCACATTTAGACGAACGTCCAGGCATCATTAAATGTAGTTGGTAACTACAACCTCCTAGAAAATATCCCTTTCCTTTCACATGAAACTATTTTGACAGGTGACATCCATGTTTTCAATCCCGCAGCTGAATGGCTCTCTTCGGTAATTTTCGGAGGAAGTTGGTAGTTATCTCCCCTTCCTCTTGTAAAAATATATTTTTTGTTTGTATTTTATGTTTTTATTTTAATGAAATCTATTTTTTCACATAATATCTAGGCCCCTATTCGCAGAAAAATAATTTTTGACCCAATGTTTTTAGTTAAATGATCAATCATGACCCAACTATTATAATTCAATGTTTTTCAGAAAGATTTTATTTAAAAAAATATTTGGCATCCAGTCATTTAAATGGGTGGAAAATACGGGCAAATTAAATGACAATTAAAAAAACTTAAAATTGACCAAGAAGTTAACAAGTGAACACGGCTGCATAGGGTACTACCGGTGTAGATGACAAATCAGAACCGGTATACGGGACCACGATTCAACTCACACCTCAACTACTGGGGCCACCTAGCCCAATAATGTCTGGAGATATGTGTCAGAAAATGATGATATCGGCACAAACGTCTATCTCAGTGGACTCGACTGTGATAGAACGGCCTCGAATATATCAGAAAGGACCAAAGGAACGTGAAATCTTAAATACTCCAGAGGACAATATAAATCACAGGACTCCAATATACTACAATATCACCAGATCTGGAAAGAGTATAGGAAGCTTGTTTTAATTGTAACACTGGAAATACTGTAAATATATTACCAGGCAAAGTTATACCAGGAAATCAAATCCGATGTTTGTAATCTAATGTAAACGTTATGACCAACACAAAAAAACCGAACTAGTGGAACATATTTAAAACGGAGATTTGGACATGGTAACGTTATGTCTAACAGAAATGTTTCCAAAAAGTAACTGCTTATAGTTGGACACTAAATTTTATGATGTGGATAGCTTTAAATCGTACTACAGCGAACCAAAAAAGTATGGTATTGGAAAATACGTCTCGAGAAACTTTTAAATTAGTGAAAAAAATAGTTTTCGATGTGGATTTTGATGAATATGTAGCTTGCTCAATAAACCTCCAAAACAGAGACTCGTTACCTGTGTGCTGCATCAACGCATGCTCCGTCTTAAATGTACCATCATTAGAAAAAAGTGACCATTACTCATAACTCCACCACCCAGTAGGGAGCAGATCTAAAACGGTATAACCTCCACAAAGGCAATTACATCGAGATGACGCATGACCTGAACAACTTTGATGCTGAGGATCTGAGTAACTGTAATGGAATTTTGGAAGCTTGGGATAACCTTTCTGTCTTCTTGACACAAGAATTAAAGAAATGTATACCAGTGAGGAAGATATCCCAACCAAGAAACCAAAACAGAACTTATCTCGACAACGACGCTAAACAAGCGATCAAAAGAAAGAAGCGCCTGTAGAACAAATATCTACATTGCAAAACGGATCAAAATTTTCATAACTACAAAGTGGCTAGGAACTATGTTGTATCAAGTATAAGGAACTCTAGATATCAGTTTGAGAAGGACCTAGCTGTAAAAATCAAAACGAATCCGAAACTATTTTGGAAACAGGGGCGGATCCAGGATTTCCTAAAAGGGGGGGGGGGGGGGGGGCGAGAAATTTTTCTCAATAGTCAACGGTGTGCTGCGAAAGGCAGCAGCCCGAGCGCGTAGCGCGAGGAGGGGGAGGGCACGTTTTCTAGAACGTCTCAGAAGCGATTTCCCGTGTTCTGAGGATTGTTTTTATGTTTAATTAACAAGAAGAATAAAGCATATTTTAAGTATGGCCCAAAGACTTTTTTTTGTGTACTGGAAAGAAAATTAAAGTTTTGGTTCAAATTCTCTATCAACAGCGTGTTTTAGAAGTCAGATGGTATTATTATAGGCGTGTTTTAGAAGTCAGATGGTATTATTATAGGGGCAACCTGGTGATGACAAATGTATGAATCCACAGGGGGCTTGTTCATTATTACTTAATTTGGCGTCCCGCCCGCAAGGGGGATACAAGAGGTCCACCGTCAAAATATAAATCTAGTCTTCAGACATTGTACGTTTGTCGTACAAAAGAACAAATAACACCATAACATCGTTGCTGTTTAATTAATGAGTTATTCATGGCATCACTAAGTTGCTAAACAAACGGTTAGTTCAAATCAGTGTGACTCCCAAGGCCACTAGTTATATATACAGGGGCGTTTCTAGGATATTTGAAAGAGGGGGCGTAGAATAAAATCTGTCGCCGAGCGGAGCGAGGCGAAAAAAGTTTTGGACCTTTTTTTTGCTAAAAAACATAAAATAATTGTGAAATGCACTAATGTAACGGTTCCTGACTTGGAGCATGTATATTTTATAGTTGAAGTGTCATGGTTTGAATTTTTTTTTTATCAGAGTATGTCTTTAATTAATGAATATGATAAATTGCCATATTCAATACAATATTAGCAGATTACGATAAAAAAAAATCCTTTTTTGTTTTGAAAAGGGGGCGTACGCCCATTACGCCCTCACCTGGACCCGCCCCTGATATAGTCTCGCGTTTTATAATTGTTGACTAATTCACTAGTGTAGACAATGATATATCTGAAATGTCCACGCTGATTAACTCATGTAAGGGCGTGCATATTACCAACGGTGGTACATTTGCTAAGCTATCTGGTTAAAATGGTACAACTTAGGAGGCACATACGCGTCACCTTTAAATTTAATTTAAAATTATCATACTTGTAAGTACAGCATATCATCTCATTCTGGTACGTACAACTTATTACTACGTACACAATAGTATGCTGTGTGAAGATACTTTCTTGTACGTACACGATGGTAAGCTATAAGTACCACAATGAGATATTATGTTGTACATACAAGATAGTTAAACAGTTCCAACAATATATATAATACCAAAATAATTGAATGGATATGTTTAGTCGATTATACATAATATTGTCAGCCGAAAAAAACCTTTATCGTTCTTGTATAATGATATGATTAATATCGCCCGGGCGGTTAGGAAGGTTACAATAAAAAGTATTAATTTTCAGATCATCTATAACGAGCGGTCAATAATATAATTATGCAACTTATGCTAGTATATTTCCGCCGAGCGTTGCAAGTTGCAACTTGGGGTTTTGCGGAGGTGGTAAAAAAACCAACACACTTTAGGGTCAAGATACAAAGTAGACGAGCGTGGCGATGCCAACAAATATTGTTTTAATAAAGAAAATATAGTAAAAATATCAGATAACGGAAACCCACAATATTTGCTAAGATGCCGTATGGGATGTGTGGGGCGTAGCCCCAGTTTTTTTTTAACCAAGCTCCGTGCATTATTTGATGCATTTTAAAATGTTAATATGTTCCCATTCCGGGCAGATCAGACCATTAGGGGCCGGCCCGGAAAAGGTCAGTCCGCCGCCAAAAGGGGGGGCCGGGGCCGGGGGGGCCCCCCCCCCCCCCCCTAAATCCGCGCCTGGGAAATATGTACGGTCTAAAACTAAAACGGCAACTGTCACCAATAGACTGTTAAATCAGGAAGGTCAATTGACCGAAACAGATGAGGAAACGGCTGAAATCTTCAACAATTTCTTTGCCAGCGTGTTTGTCCATGACTCGAACGCACCAATTCCATATTTATCGCCAACAGTTCTACCGGAACACTTAACTGATATCACTATTTCTGTTGTACTGAAGCCAATCCAGAAGACTAATCCAAACAAAACACAGGGACCTGATACTCCATCCACAACTTATAGCTAGGACAGCAAACTCCATCAAAAAGCCTCTGACGATAGTGTACAACAAATCATTCAATGAAGGAAAGTTACCTAAACAATGGAAAACTGCGATCGTAAGACCAATATTTAAAAAAGGATAAAAAAAGGAACCCGGGAACTGTAGACCAATCAGCCTTACTTCAGTTCCGTGCAAAATTAGACCTGGACGATCATGTACTACGCAGCTCTTAGAAGTCCTTGAAGATTGGACACAAACCTTATATCAAGGTAAACATATCGACGTGATATATTTGGATTTTTCCAAGGCCTTTGACAAGGTCTCTCATCGTCTACTACAATATACACTCCAGTACTATGACATACAAGTACTAGCATGGATACAGGATTTCCTAAGTGATATGGAACAAGAAGTGCTAGTAAATGGAAAATTCTCAAAAAGTGAGCCAGTCACTAGTCCGAATTATTCTGACGTTTTATCGACTTTTTTCATATCGTTCTGTCGTCGATTAATCGACGACAGACCGATATGAAAAAAGTCAATAAAACGTCAGAATAATTCGGACTAGCCAGTCACCAGCGGGGTACCTCAGGGAAGCGTTTTAGGACCAATTCTATTTTTGATATATGTCAATGACATGCCTGGTATCATCAATTGTACCATCAAACTTTTTGCAGACGACACACAATTATATTAAAAAATCTCCCACAGCGAAGACCGTTTACTTATTTAGGACAACATAGACAACATATGTAAGTGGACTGACGACTGGTTAATGAAATTAAACATCCACAAGTGTAAACACATGGAAATTGGACCACATCTATAATTTAAATTTTCCAGATAAGTACAACTGAAATAAAGAAAGTAGAAAACGAGAAGGATCTTGGCGTCACCATAGACAACAAATTGAGATTTTCAGACCATGTTAACATAGCAGTTACAAAGGCAGTTACAAAGGCTAACATAATCCTGGGTACTATCTTCCGTACTTCACATACATGGACGCAGTTATGTTTACTCTTTGTATTAATCACTCGTCAGACCACATCTAGAGTATGGAATACCTTTATGGTCCCCAATCTTTATCAAAGACAAAATCTCCATTGAAAATATGCAAAGAAGGGCTTCAAAACGGATAAAAAATATATCAAATCTACCATACGATGAAAGGCTACGAAAACTGGGACTGCCTACACTCGAATATAGATGGGAAAGATCCTAAATAACATCGACCATGTAGACCATGAACACAAATATGTTTAAACCGGCATCAAATATGGGGACCAGGGGGCATCCAAAAAAGCTGTTCAAGAAACCGTTTCGCCATGAA